TTGGGTCATTCAGGATTCAATGAATGGTGCGTCATCCGCAACAGATGGTCACACGTCACCCTCACGCAGTCTATTCCCCTTGCGGCGCTATCTGTTTGTTGTCGCAGCGAGGAGGATGTGAAAAAGGCCTACCGGCGGCTGGCGCTCAAGCACCACCCGGATAAGGCCCTAGCGGCGGTCAAGGTGTCGCTCGCTCTGCCTGGACGAGCGGGCGGAGCGCCGTACAGCGGGCCGTTGGTGGGCAGTGCCGAGCTCGAGGCGCGTGTGCGGGAGGAGGCGGCCTGGCTTTTTAACTTTATCAATCAGGTGCAGATTTAAGTTCTTCCTCGTTAGCTTCAGGGAGGCTGTCCTCCTACATGCATACATGTTCGCGCCATGCCTTCTTGTGCATGCAGTATTGCTTTCAAATGATGCTTTCAAATGCATGTACATATGGCCGGTAGTGCATGCTTCTGTGGGCGACGCTTCAGCTTCTAGCACGCGCCTGACTGTACTTTGCATTTGGTACCGAGAAGCTACATTTAGCAATCGTGTTTACAGGCTTCCCGACGTGCACTGGTACCCTTGCACTCCTCCCTCTGCTTTCTGCCATTCTTCACATAAGGCCCATGAAGAGCTTTCCGACAAGGTCCGCCGCCGCAAGGTGGATCAACTCCTGGAGGTAGAGCAGCCGCCACGGTCGGGCCGGTACGGAAACGGTTCGTCCAATATGTACGGTGGCGGCTGGTTCAACGGCAGTGGCACGCGAGGCAATGGCTTCTCCGACTTTTACGGCGTGGACCCCTTCTTCTTCCACCGACCTGGGGGCCCGGCCCCGGCGGGAGGTGGGGGCGGGGTTGGCGGTGCAGGAGGGAGCTCGCGGAGCCGATCCGCAACAGGCGGCGGTGCCGGGGCAGCCGGAGGCGGCTACGGGGGTGCGTCAAAACACGGTGGATACACGGGCTGCTAGACCGTGAATGCGGTCCTACATTTGGTGCTTTCCGTGGTAGTGTAGGGCATAGGACAGCTTTGTATAATCGCTTGCTCCGTGTTTAGAGCTGGCATTGTTGTGGATGGAATTTCCACCGTGGATACATTGAAGCGACTGGCCTAGGGGCTGGTGCTGTCGCCTCCAGTCGCCCATGGCAGCGTCGGCATGTGCACGAAAGCGGCGATCTGGGTCAAGGCCATTCATTCATTAGTTAACTTCGGCCACCACTTGGGGTATAACCTGTTTTCCTGACTACTTGCCTGTAGGATATGGAAGCTATGCAGCTTACGGGGGTGGGTCACGGCCAGGCAGCGCCCGCCAGTCATCTGGTGCCAACAACAACGCGGCAAATGGAAACGGTCCTACACGTAGCAGCAACAGTAGCAACAGCAATAACGGCCCGGGTGCGGCCCGCGGCGGCACAGGCGCCGGTGGCGGCGCAGGAGGCACGTATGCTGGTGGGTACGGCCGTGCAGCCGGTGCAGGGCCACGGCAAGCAGCGGGCGGCCGCAAATGGTGGGAGGGAGGCAACGACAATTCCGACGATGATGACGAGGACACATTCAATTTTTAATAATGAAAACCAGTTCCAGCGACGCAGGCCCCAGTACCAGTGCCGAGCTGGCCATGCAATTTGTTGAACCCAGGCCGCCGTTGTGTGATACATGGCTGGCGCAGGAACGGGTTCAACGCTTACAAAGGAACGCTATGTGGGAGGATGCCAGACGTCAATAAAATAAAACGAACCGCAAATTAAGGGGCGGTATATTTTACTTGGAGGGGTTCACATGTGGAAATCTCAGGACCGTCTATGACAGCACCTTTACGGACGGTTTGGCCTAAGATAGGTACCGTGGTGGCGAGGATATTGGGTCGCCGTGGTAGTCAATTTGCACGGGGTAACCCTCTTTACTGAGACCCAGATAGCCCGCGCAAGTAGTGGAGAAATGGGATGGTAATATTGGCTGTGTGCTACGTGAGTGCATATCCCGAGCCTTAAGGGTTGGGGTCATGCCCTGTGCTCATGCCGCTTGCGGTCTTGAGCACCCTGTCCTCATGTTGAGCCGGGTGCGTGAGGCCTTACGCACCAGATGATACGCACTACAAGTGCAGGCGTACGCTTTTGTACGTACCTAGGTGGTGTATCTTCAAGGGTCTTGAACTGCAGACAGGCAAGGGCGATTCATCGCTGGCTGGCAGGCGAGTAGGAGTGTATCTGTGAAAGCAGCGGGTGTGAAGAGGCGAACTTCAGGAAGCGGCCTCTGCAGCTTGCCGCCGACGCTCCGACAATACCACGTGCGGGCTGGGGCACAGGTACGGGACCAGGATAACAGCTACCGGGGCGCACATGACCGATACACGATGGCATTGACACACTGGGGTGTAGCATTCTTCAAAGCTGGCGTGATGTATTGGAAGTCAAAAGGGTTTCGGGGCTTGTCGATGGTTAGGGGCTGTGAGGTCGCAACACTGAGGACGGGGAAGTATGGGGTAAGGGCTTGAACAGGTTTGGAGATGGATAGCACAGGCATGGCCGGCACGGTGTTTGTAGCACGAATATGACGCGTGATGCATGGGGGGCCCCATCGTCCGCATGGCGTAGAATCGCTTAGATACTTGCTGTCATGGTATGGAAGCTAGAACCATAGAAATGTTTACGTGGCAAGCAGAATAGATCAGTCGGGAGCACCTGACCCTGTACTTGTAAATGTCAGGATCCACCCGGGGTTTGCGAAACCCGGGTGGCCAGGCAGGCGGTTCTGGCCTGGCATTGAACATATAGGCTTTCAGCACATCTGGATGTACGAGACGTATCCGGCGTCTCCCCAGAGAACGCAAATAGGCACGTCTTCCACGCGCCTGCACGGCAAAAAGAGCGCATTTGCACCGAATCCAGCCGCGTCGTGCATTAGGGCGAGCCTGGTCACCCCCTTACTTGATTCCCTTGAGCCATGCCAGGACATGCTATAACAGGAACTTGCCATGCCAAAGGAGCCATGCCAAAACAGGAACCTGGCAAGGGCACGGCCGTAGTAGCAGACCTATGAACCCTCTCAGCTTCATCTTTGGTTGTAGCATATAAGCAATGCACGGTTCCATTTACGATGCGGAACCTGCGTAATACGCGCATTATGAAACATGCTTATAGCACCGCGGTATACAACATTGTGCAGGTAGATACGAGTTTGATTTTTGGGAACGGTGTGTGGAATTCTATGTACTAAAATTCAATTCTTCCAAAGGGGTGAAGGCAATAAAAGAGCTACCACCGGTAGCGATCAGTTCTAAATTGTTTCGACAAAAGGGATACACTGTGTTTTACGCATGCCTATTTCGTTAGGGTACGAGCAGGGCATACAAGTACGTGTCAAATCATATACGTGCTATATGTCCGTGAGATGCGCTCGCCACTCGTGTCACAACGTTTGGGTTAAGACTTTGCCTACTTGCCAAATTCTGAACGTGCCTACGCCCATTTATCATCACCCAAAGCATTCCGCATTTCGTCCATCATGGTTTGCAGTTACCGTTCATCTCCTTAGAAGGCGAATACATGTCCAGGTCATTTCTTGCACCTCCTTTGGACGACTGCGTATCGGAAGCCCTAGCCTTAGCTAAAACCATAATTAATAAAACCAAAACTGATAAAAACTCATGAAGTTGATATGGATCCCCGTTTTCCCCGTATTTGGCCACGCAGTACACCAGTGGTCGCCTTATCCTAGCTTCTAGATTCTGGTATTTCCCAACGGCTGAATGCAAACAAACGCCAGGAATATCGGCAACAATGCATCAACTCGATACATCACACTTATCCGTAGGCATTCCCATCTTAATTTCGCAATGGCGGCCAAGCCATCCAAGTTACAAGTTAGAAAGTTACAAGTTACAAGTGCTGCACGAGTGCGGGGGGTCCGTCAAAGCCGGGAGGCCATGGACTATATATATTGATAGTTGATTCCACCGTACAGCCGACGGTGGTTCTTTGGTCTTTCTACCTAGACCTCGCCTCATCCAGTCACCCGGCATCCATAGATACAGATCAGCCACCACCACGAACTCAGCATGCGAACTGAGTTTCGCGGGCGGGGACACTCAGTCCATCAACTAGACTTCATCTGCACACCTCATCAGAAATTTGTAATTTGCATCCATTAACTTCCGATACAATGGTACCTTGTTCTCCCATCACAGCAGCAGATCGCTACATACTATCTCTGTCATATTATCATAGAGATTTATACCACTCCATTAACGCATCCTTCCATAGTACGTGCCCATCGAAACAAATGTTACACGATACGCCACGCTTCGATAACCTTATCGCCCCCAGGGACAGCCTGGACGAAATGTAGAGCACGATGGCACTAGCAGCGTAAGGAGCGAGTATCATTCCCATTATTTTCGCCTATCCCACGATACTCACAGCGAAAGCCCGTATCCAAGATACTGGGGATGCATGTATGCGGGATGCATACGCGGGGGCTCTACCGCCAGAAGGGGGACGACTTCACTACACCGGCTGATAAGGAGGCTCTAGCACTAACCCCCTGACACGACCAGCAGCTGTGCGTTCACTGGTTCACCATAAATGGCGCCCAGGGTGTGCACGTCGGGATCCGCTGGAAAGGCTGGTGAATGAGAAGATTTTTGCTCGTCCTCCGAGCTGGGATTGCTTGCCGCCTGCACCTGCCTGCTTGGCAAACAAGGCTGCTTTCTTCAACTAATACAGCCTGAATTTGTGGGAGTAAGCAACCCTCATTGGTTTTATTTCCTGTCAGCTTTTGGGACTGTTGCATTGTTCCGTACCGTGTCTCAACTTCTTGCTAACTGTATCCGATGCCGGCACCCCGATTTCCTTTTAAAAAAACGCTGCTGTTCTGTGGCCAATATGTGCAGTCCTTAGCAAACGCTCTTATTGTCCTAAGCGTTTTGACAAATGCCGGAGCAAAGATCCATAGCCCTAAAGTTGCCAAACGCAAGGAAAGTTGCTTTGGCTACTAGAAGCGTATCTGTTTGATATCTTATTATGTTAGCGAAATGCAACGTGGTAAGCTATACAGGTGCGGAGCTTGCAGCTTCGCCCTTTGATGTTTGGTCGATTCGACCGGCCCCGTCAACGTTGACTCCTTTGCCAGTCTTAAGGAGTGCTAGGTGAGCGATGTGCAGACTATAACCGTGCTGTGATGTGAGAGCTGCGCCGCCGGTACCGTTTTGGTGCTTATTGCAGTCCGCTTTATACCGCAGCATCTTCGATAGCATATACAGTCTTAAATATGCTCCTCCGGAGGTCGTCTCATTTGTGGGCCAGGTGGGTGTCGTGCGATGGAAACCCTATTTCCACAAATTTCCGGTCCCGACCACCAGTGCCTAGCGTCAGCGGGAGGTTTGTAAGACGAGTATGGCCCTTACTTCCACATCGTAAGCACCGTGACACAACTGTGAGAGTGAGCTTCCTATCCTAACCCGATGCAAACCGCCATCTTTGGCCGCAGCTCCAACCGCTGGTCAATGGTCGCGCTGGACTTCCCAGACATTCACCACCTCCTCCTCTTGGCAGTGGCGGCGGAGGCACCAACCGCAGCACCGCCAGCCGCAGCAGTAACACTGGGCACGATTCAGAGCTCGCATTACTTCAACAGAGGCGGCTCTCCCACTCCCTTGCCAGCACCAGCACCAGCGCCAGCACCAGCACCAATACAACCACCTGCACAAACATCAACACCGCGAACTTAGATATTCCCACCAGCTCATGGAACCTGGACCCCGGCTGCTCAACGGGAACGGTGAACACGGCGCTAGGGGAGACAGTCACGGATGCAGCTGCCGCCGCCGCCACCGCCGCTGCTGTCTGGACTCGGCCTTATCGCAGTGCGCTACTGCGTTCCAGCCGGCAACTGACGCCCGCACAGGCAGCTGTTCAACTACTGCGCATCGCCGACATGGACGTGCGTGGTGCGCGGACAACCGCCCAGCAGCATGGGGATCATCAGCATCAGGGGCAGCGCACGGATGAGAGCGAGGAGGGGGTCGAATGCGCAGATGAGGATCCTCAGCCGCCGCTGGTCCATCCTCCGCCGGCTCAGAACCAGCATCCACCACCACCACCATCACCACCACGTGCTGCTGCTACAGCCCCCTCGCCAAAGGAGCTGTTGGCGGCAGGCTTGGATCTTCTAGACCATTGGGCCTTACGTGAGGCGCTGGACGTGCTACAGCCGCGGTTGCAGCAGCTGTCGGTGACTCAGCTCCAGGTAGGGGTAGGGTCAGGGGCGGAGATATGGAGATGCGGCCCATAGGAACGAGGACTCGGGGTTTTTTGGGAGGGTCCAACAACAGTATTTCAAGTGGAAGAGAGGAAATGGATACAGGCTGGGAAGAAAGGTGGTGGGGAAAGAGGTAGGGCTGGGCCATGGCCGCCAGTCCGTGGTCGTTGCCGTGTGTACGACACCGCGCGCCGTCTCCCACGGTGTCTGTTTGTTTTGCAGAGGTGCTTGGAGACGCTGGCAGTAGTACGGCACCCGCCGACTGACCCGTGGTTCCACGAGTGGCTCCTGGCTTCGGAGCGGCAACTGGAAGCCGCGGATGCCACGGAGGTGTACGGCATGTTGGTCGCTATGCGGGCCTTGCGTCAGAGGCCCCAGTCTCAGGAGTGGATTGAGGGCGCAATGAGGGCCTTATTAGGTCACCTGCCGCAGCTGGATGCCGTACAAGTGGTGGAGTTGCTAGGGTGTTTCGTTGACTTGGCGCTACGGCCACCTGAGAGGTTGTTGAATCATATATTTGCGCTGCTACTGCCGGATTTGCCACAGCTACAGCCTGGTGTTGTTCTGGACCTGTTGTCGAGCTGTACCAGGCTGCGTGTGGCTCCACCGCCGCATGCGCTGAGCGCTGCCCTCGGCGTGCTGACTCCGTCGGTGCTGGCAGCGGCGCCGCCGGCGGCGCTTTGCAGGCTGGCGGCAGCCCTGGCGGCGCTGCGGCTACAGCTGCAACCGGCGTTGCTGGCGGCGCTCATCGGACGAGCGGATGTGCTGTTGCGGTCGGCTGTCGCGACAGCAGCAGCACCAGCAGGTGCGGGCGGTAGCGGACGTGTGGCGGCTACACGGGACAGGGGCAGTAGCAGTGGCGGAACAGCTGCGGCATCGGCGGCGGCATCGGCGGCAGCGCAACCGCTGGGCTCAAGCATCGCTTCTGATTTCCCGCCCGCTGCTGTTGGTGTTGCTGCCGCCGCCGCCAGCGGCGAGGTTTTGGCTGACGGGAAAGACGGCGCCGCAAGGCGTCCTGTGGATGCTAGCACGCGCATTCTGAGACCCCGCCGGGTTAAGGCACGTCGTACTTCCAGCGTAGTCAGCGCCGCTGCCGCCGCTGCTGCTACTGCAGTCCCGTTGCCGTCAGCGGTGGCAGCGGAGGGTCCTGTAGCACAAGTCCACTCAGGCGACGGCGGCGATGATGAGGACACGACGCTGCTGCTGACGGCGGAGGTGGCAGCGGCGGCGGCGCCGCCGCCAGGTACCTCGACGGCGCAGCCGGTGGACAGTGCGACGTTGACGGGACCGCAGTTCTCCCGTCTCCTCCGGGATCTGCGTGCCCTTGAGGCCCCCCTGCCGCCGTACTGGGGTGACCTGTGTGGACACGTCCTCGTGTCGCTCACCACAGACGTCTCGTCCATGCCTGTCGTAGAAGTGTCGTACCTGATGCGCACGGCGGCCCGCTGCGGCTTGACGCTGCCGCTGGGCGCTGTGCGGGTTGCGGCGGCGGGTCTGGAAACGAGCTTACGCGCCTCGGCGGAGGCGCGACGGCGGAGGCTGGTACGGCAGCGGCAGGGGATGATGCGTGGCAAGGCAGCGGCGGCGGGGGCGGAGGAATACGTGGCTGAGTTCGCACCTGGGCTTGAGAACGACGGCGATGGCGACTTGGGCTACATCGCCATGGCTGGGGATACAACGGGAGATGGGAGCAGTGCTGCTGCTGCATGCGAAGGTGATGGCCACGATCGAAGCGGGCACGAGGGTTGCGGCGGCGATGACAATGATGGCGAAGGAGAAGCATTGTCGCGGGGCGTAGCAGCTTCTGGATACTGCGTACAGCCATGGACCGCCAAGGTAATGTACGACGATAACGAGATTAGAACAGATTGGACAGCTGGGGCTGTGCTGCTTAAGAGTGCGCGATATAGGGGGGAGCACTAAGAGTGCCTGGCTATCTGGGGATAGTATTAGGGAGGGAAAGGTAAGGTCACGTATGTGCTCCAGCTGTTGTGATTGTTGTTGCTACAGCTGTTGTGATTGTTGTTGCTACAGCTGTTATGATTGTTGTTGCTACAGCTGTTGTGATTGTTGTTGCTACAGCTGTTGTGATTGTTGTTGCTACAGCTGTTGTGATTGTTGTTGCTACAGCTGTTGTGATTGTTGTTGCTACAGCTGTTGTGATTGTTGTTGCTACAGCTGTTGTGATTGTTGATGGGGTGTTACACTGTGGGCGGCTCGCCCGATAAAGGACGAGCACCTGGGGCCCTGACCTGGCCGAAACACAGCGCAGGGATGGGCGCGCGGCTCTACGTCCGTCTGTTCCTCCGCGCGCGCCTCGATCCCTCACTCACGCCAACCGGGACACTCTCCCAGCCCCTGGCTAGGCAACACAGCGGCGCAAACCGATCTATGCAAGAACCGCACGAAAGGCGCCACTTCGCCTGGCCTGCCTATTCACGCGCTCTCGTCCCTCTTGACCGCCAAAACCAGAACAAAAAGAACACACCACCGGGGGCAGGGGCTCTACTCGGGGGCCTCCTCTACACACACAAAAGAACCAGGGCCCCACGCAGCCAGCAAGGCAAGGGACACACGGAGGACCACGGGCCTGAGACGACACACCACAAAAGCCGAGATACGGTTGCACAGGAATGACCAACACAAAGCGAGTACTCGCACACTGGTCCTCGAAGGCCAGCTGTTCAACTACCACGAGCAACGAACAACGAACACTTCCCGAGGGTGGCCACCACTACCTCGCCGGTCCACTCACAAACGAGGCGAAACTGGTCTGCACGTCAGTCTCCTCCTGGGGGTTGCGGGCTCTCGGATGCAGCCCAGCGCGAGACACAGCAAAAACACCTATAGCCGCGGGGGGGATGACAAGCCAGCACGGCGCCCCCCTATAAAGCCCGGAAAAGGCACGGCTCACAGACGCCGCCTGCTCCCGCTTACCACACCGGAATCCCTCCCCTCCTGACCCTGACCGGCCGGGACCAGCACCACCTGCTGATTGTTGTTGCTACAGCTGATGTGATTGTTGTTGCTACAGCTGATGTGATTGTTGTTGCTACAGCTGATGTGATTGTTGCTACAGCTGTTGTGATTGTTGCAGTACAGTACACGAGCACTCCACTGCTTGTCCCCGGATGTGCGGTTGTCTCTGGCGCGCAGGCACTTTCCATCACCACCACCGCCCTGGTGCCGTACGCAGCCCATCTACCGCCTTCCCTTCTACACGCGCTGTACGACAACTTGTACGACAACCTAGAACGATTTGACCTGCCGGAGCTGACAGCGACGTTGCATGCGCTGCCGCTGCTGCTGGTTGCGGCGGCGCCGTCGCCGGGCCAGACGCGCTTGCCCCGCGGGGCTGCCGCCACCGGGATGTCTACACCGCCGCCGCCGCGGCCGCCGCCGGCCCTCGTGATGTCGTACCTCTCTTGCCTGTACGGCCGAATGCACAGAATGCAACCTTGGCAACTCTCTATGTGCATCTTCTCACTGCTGCGCCTTGGCGGCCGACCTGAGCCCTTGTGGATGGATGCGTTTCTCGGCCAAGTGTACCGCAAGCTGCCGTATATGAATGAAGTACAAATTGCGACCGTCCCGTGGGTCGTCGCGAAGATGTCGTACCGGCCGCAGGCGGGCTGGGTCGACCGAGTTCTCTCCGCGGCGGCGGGTCGGCTGTCGTGTTTCTCACCCCGACATCTTTCCCAGCTGGTATGGGCGGTGGCTGTGATGGGATACCGGCCGGGCAGCGAGTGGATGGTCCGTTGGTTGGATAAGGCCCGTGCACATTTCCGTACGTCAGATGGCCGTACGCTAGCGACGCTGGCGTGGGCAGTGGCTTCTGTGGGGCATCGGCCGGAGGGCGAGTGGTTGCAGGTTAGTTTTATGCCGTACTGCCTTCCGTCGGAGAAGCTTTCCCTACGCGTTATGTCGTATTTTGTTGTTTTATGTGCCTGCGGCGGTGTTGGGGATTACCATGTTTGGGTGAAGGTATTCCGGTTCGGTCGTTGCACCTCGCAGCTACTGCCATCCGCATGTTGTTGCTTCTCCCTTCCCTCTGCCTTTCCTTCGTGACTATTGGTTCCCGTGCGTTCCCAATGTTTTGTGTCGTACATGTGTGACGGACGCCCGTAGGAGCTGTGCGAGCACCTCGCCCGCCGCCTGCCGTACACCTCCCCTCGCGCCGTCAGCAATACTCTGGCAGCATTAGCGGCGCTGGGTCACCGGCCCGACGCCAGCTGGGTAAACGCCGTCGCAGAGCATGTGCAGTTACGGCTGCCGCCGCCGGCGGGCGGCGCCGCTGGTGGCGGCACTGGCGGCGGTAGCCCTGCGGCGTCGTATACCGCGGAAGGTAGCGGCTGCTACAGCCTACAGGACCTGTCGCACGTCTGCTACAGCCTCGCGCGCCTGGGCTACATCCCGTCAGGCGGCTGGCTTGACGCAGTGTCTAACGCTGCCGCACGGTTGGCGTTACAAGATCCCGCGACGGCGGCGGCGGCAGTGCCGGCGGCAGCAGCAGCAGCGGCGCACGCGAAGCACATTGCTCTGCTAATGCTAGCGCTGTCGCGTCACCGCCGGCGGCCGCCGGCGGCGGCCTGGTCCGATCTCCTCGAAGGGCTGTACCCTTGTCTGCCGCACGCGTCGCCGCAGGCTTTGGCCGTACTGCTGTCAGCGGCGGCGGCGCTGCAGCTGCCCCTGCCCCGGGAACACGCAGGCGGTCTGCTTCTGGCGACCCACCGTCGAATGGCGTTCTTCAGCAACCGGGGGCTGGCCATGGTGTTCCGGGGGTTTGTGGGCCTAGGCAAGGATCCTGGGGCGAAGTGGCTGGGGCGTTTGGAGGAGGTCCTGCGGCAACGGGCACTAGCTGCACAACAACAACAAGAAGAAGAACAGTTCGTGGCTCAACAGCAGCGGCAGCATAGTAGGCTCCGGCCGGGCGACCAGCAGCAGCAAGGCCGTGCTGTAGTTAAAAACGCGGATGAGGAGGAGAAAGAGGAGGAATGGGAGGAAGGGAGAGGGGCTCAGGAAGAGGAGGAGGAACACCAGCAGCAGCAGCAGGAGGAGGGGCTCCGGGGCTTCGGTGGGCTGGCACCGCGGGAGCGAGTGTGCATGCTGTGGGCGGCGGTGACGTTGGAAACCATGGAGATCTGTCCGGCTGCGGGTCAGGGTGGTGACAGTAATAATAATGAATCCGGGAGAGCGTATCGGCGACTGCGGGGCGGTGATCGTGAACCGCCTAGGGCACCATCCTCCTCCTCTCCGTTGCCGTTGTTGCATACACTCTCGCGACACCGACAGCAACAGCACCAGCAACAACAGCACCAGCAACAGCCGTCGTCTTCGGCCGCATTCGTGGCCAGCGCAGTCAGCGGCGGTGGCGGGGACGGTGGCGGGGACGGCGGCTACCCCGCACCTCCACCGCCCCGATGGGTCCGCAAGCCAGGGCCGCTGCAGCGACCGCTACGTCTGGAGGGTCTACTGACGCTACTGCTGCCGCCTCCGGAGCTGAGACAAGAGCCCACGGCGGCGGAAGGTCGTCCAGCGGTACAGCAGCGGCGGCGGTGGCGGCACAGGCGGCGGAGGGATCCGGACGGTCACGGGCAGCGGCGTAGCGGCAGCGGCGGCGGCGGAGGTGAGCGGCAGCACCCCTGGAGCCCGCTATCAGCCTACACCAGCCAGGACTTGGCCGTGATCTGCTGGGCGTTAGGGCGGCTGCGATTGAACCCCCGCGGTGGCGGCCTACTGGCGGCGCTTATGACGGAGGTATCGTACAGATTGACTAGGGATCCAGGCGCGGGTGCGGCGGCTGGAGGGAAGGTTTCCGCTCCGGAAGCAGCCGCAGCGGCGGAGGCGGAGGAGGCGGAGGCGGTAACAGCGGGGCGGAAATCGCGTACGGCTCATGGTGCCGTCCGCCGCCATGGCGGCGGAAGAAGAGCGCTGGCGCCAAGCGATTTCGCGTTGGCTTGCTGGGGATTAAGCAGCGTGGGCATGTGGCCGACGGCGTCGTGGCAGGCGGTGGTGGCGGCAGCGGCGCTTCGGTTCGCGCGTGAGGGCAGACTGTCACCACGAGACTTTGCGACGGTGCTGGCGGCGCTGGCGCGCTGGCGCCGTAAGCCGCGGGTACGGCCAGCTCTCCTGCGCCGGCTGCGGTTGGGGCCGCCGCCCGGCCGCCGGCCTCGAGCCGTGGACGGGAAGGCCGGCAGCCCCGCGGCCGAGGTGCGTCTCCGCGCTTGTTTGGCAGCGTTGGTTGAGCTGGCGTTGGCCGACAGCGCTGCTCACATGCCGCCGGCGCCGCCGCCGGCGCCTCCTCCTCCCTCACTGCAGCCGCCCCAAAGTACCCTTACCCTTGCTCACACTTCCGCCGCCGACTCCGCCGACGCCAGCGCAGCAAGCAGTCGCGGCGGCTTTAGCAGCATGAGCACCGTAGCCGCACAAGCGGATGGAGACCGACGACTACTGCCGCAGCGCTGCTACGACGCACGTAGCCTGGCAAGTCTGACATGGGCGCTGGCGAGCCTCGGGGTGGCGCGGCGGCGGTTGCCAGTCGCCTGGGTCAGTGCCTTCATGCCCGTCTCGCTGCGCCTGCTGTCGCAGCTGCCTCCGACCTACCGTGTTACACTGCTGGACAGTTTGTCCCGGTTGGGGCTGCGACCCGGGGCTGGCTGGCTGGAACAGGCAGAGCAGGTGCGGGAGGGAGAGGGAGAGCGAGAGGGGAGAAGACCTATTTTTACTGCCTTCATATGATTTTCTCGTTGTTTCTTAACCACCCAGTACGTGAACGTGTGATTCTTTGTAGAACTGCCCAATAAACCATTATGCACTTGGCTCCCCACCACACTGCCCAGGTGGTCCTCCAAGGCGGCCAGCTGACCCTGGCCAGCTCCTACCGGGGGTTGGAGGCCGCGCTGAGGAGGATGGCGGACGGGGCTGGAGGACCCCTAGGAAGCAGAGGAGGAGGAAGAGGAGGCGGCGGCTTAGATTGCAAACCACGAACCAAGACCTGATCTGACCTGACCTGGCCTGGCCTGATTTGATTTAATTTGATTTGATGTTCAGAACATAATCGAATCCAGAACAGAGCAGTACGGAATAGCAAACCCCACCCGATCCTGTTTCCATCCTTCCCTCCATCTATTCAGGCAGATAAATAGGGTAGACAGACAGACAAATAGACAGACAGACAGACGGAATGGGTCGATTAAGTGCCGCCGTTGGCCGCAGCACCCAAGTGTTTAAAGGAGTTTTGTCAAGAAGGCAGGCGCGAAGGTAGAGGGGTGAAGCACACATAGCTCAGTACAGAGTCGCAGTAATTTGCATATAATCATCTTTATCTGCCCCAAAGTAAGACCTCATCCCGCAGTCTTAAATGTAAAGAAGCTCATCCCGCTAAGTCCACGCCCTACCACGGCACTGGGTCCATCTCGACGCCAGGCGATTAAGCCTCCGAAAACCATAAGGGGGAAGGGTAGCCAGCTCGGCGGGCCCCCATTACCGCTCTACCATGGCGGCTGGTTCCCAAGACTATTATCTCACCTGTACTTCGCAACACACGAAACCCGGCCTCGTACCCCGAAGAACCTAGTCCTGCGCCACACGTGCACCTCCGAGTACGGCCCCCCCTTCTGGGTGCCCACCTCCCCCTCATCCGTGCCCTCGCTACGGCCACCTGTTTCCACTCACCACCCCTCAACCCTACATCCTCTTGGTGCTCTCTCTGCCTCGTCCCCTCCCTCCCCTCCCCTTCCGGGCTCTCCCCGCCCTTCCCCCGGTCTCCCCAGTCCTCTCGGCCCCTCGGCCTCTGTTTCCGCCCTCCGCCGGCATGGCTCCCCCAGGCAAATAAACCCTCCCTCCCCCATCCCCCCTCGTGCGACACCCCTCCAACCCCCATCCCTGATCCCGCACCCCCCGCAACCTTTCCCCTCAACCTCCCCCTCGACCTCCCTACCAGACCCACAACCTCATCCCCCCTCCGCGCCTCGAAACCCTATCGCCTTATCCCCTGGACTCCAGCTCCCGCCGCGTCTGCTTGACCATTTGTCGTGACCACCTGTCGTGATGTCCACCGCCTCCGCGCAGCACAGTGCTCCCCCGACGATTGACAGGATCGGGTGGTGGGGTCCCACTCCGTCCCAGCCCCGCCTTGGGATGTTGAGCTCGGTGAAGGAGCGCAAGCGCGCCCAAAAGTCCACTACTGCCCGAGCGTGGGCGTATTCCAGGGGATTTGCTGCTGCTGTTGCTGTTGCCGTCCCCGGTCCCGCGATGGGCCTCTGCGTCTGATCCTCGAGTACCGGCGCGTTCAGCGACGGTCCCTCGTGCAGTCTCACTCTGTTGGCCAGGTGAAAGAAGTCCGTCATCCACCACTGTTGGGGCCATTGCGCCTGGATCTGTTGCGCTTGCTCTGGCTGTTTTGTCGCGGGGTTAGCCGCCCTTTCCAGTCACTTTCCGGCTGCTCGCAGGCAGCACCTGCCTACCTCCATAGCAGACAGGGCCGCCAGGGCAATCACATCCCAGGGGGCCTGCTCGCAGCCGGTCAGGGCTTGGACTAACCACAGCTGCTTCCGGGTGATGCCACCTGTCGCTGCCTCCTGGGAGGGCTGTATGTGTCGGTCAATTTGCTCCCGGACAGCTTGTGCGACGGGGCACTCCCAGAAGTGGTGCATGCGTGGGGAGCAGTGCTGGTTGCTGGCGTTGCCGAACCTTCCACACCCACATCGCTGGGGCACCATGTGGGCCAGGTGCGTGTTGCCGGGCAGGGGGATGCCGTCATGTATGTATGTATGTATGTATGTATGTATGTATGTATGTATGTATGTATGTATGTATGTATGTATGTATGTATGTATGACTTAGATTACACTGTGGGCCGCGAGAGCCGGGGGCCGAAGCCGAAACACAGCGCAAGGGTCGGGAGCACACAGCACAAGTCGGTTAGTCTTGTGTGCTCCCGACCCCGACTCAGACTGCCAACACTCTATGCAGCCACTCCGCAGCCCCTCCATCCGGGGATGGCGCTGCAGTGAAAACACCACGAAGGGCTCTCAGGTCCCGCTAGAGCGAGTCCACAATTCTCAGCTAGGGCAAAGTCAAAGGCTCTCTGAAACAACCCCCAAAACACCACCAACGACAACGGGATTCCAAGGAAAAAAACAGAAAATAAAAATACGGTTAGGGCAGTCCCGGCAGGGGAGGGCTCCTGATACACCTAACAAACCAACAAAAAAACCTCCAAGAGAGAAAGGCTAAGAGAGCTCGACACCACAAGACGTCTTGCAGCCACCTTACAACAACGCCGCCTCCACATCACCGTTACCACTGGCCCTGTTCTCCTCCTCGCCATTTCACTCGTCTTCATCTCCAAGTTGGACGCGGCTGAGCAACACGTCATTGATACGTTCCTGAAAGGATGGGGGAGGCCAGAGGTCAGAGGTTAAGAGGTTAAGAAGAAGGGCTGTTTCCCAGTTCGCGTTTGTTTCAGTGGACCCCGTTCTGGTCGAGTGCCGCGCTACAGGGAACGATGGTGCCTCCCGCACAACACTGCCAAAATCAGACATTGAGACGGAAAGAGGCGGAAGGGGCGAGGAATGTTCAACAGTGTCAGATAGTTGCCCCGAACCAAACAGGAACATGAAATATCTAAAACAATAGTCGCTTTGACAAACGTCAAAGAAAACAAGTGAGACGTCGTTTGATCGTCTGATAAGTGACGCCAGCACGGCCAGCAACTAGTCTTGGTCCGGCGGGATCAGGTCGGGTCGGGCCAGCCTACCTGCAGGAAAGCTCGCCTTGCCGACTCGGAGGTGAGCTTGTCCCACTCCTGTAGATGCGACCACCGCAGGGTCCGGCAGGGGCGGGAATTGTCAGGGGGATGATGAGTTGGGACGCAGGACAGGACAGGGGGGCTGAAACATATGCACCTTCATGTGGTCCTGGTTTTGGCAGTGGTGTGCGGGAGGGCACCATCGTTCTCAGGCGCGCTGCACTCGACCCCATCGGGGTCCAATGCTGTAACAACCGCAAACTGGACTTGACCCTCTCACACCCCCTGGGCTGACCGACGCACTGGGCTACTAACCGCCTGTTTTCTTATTTTAGTAAGAGATCCACTTTTGCAGGTTAGCTTGGGGTGAGCTTAGCATCGGTAATAATAACAGCCGATTACTTGTATCCTGAATTGTTCGGGGCAAGGGCCGTCACATACTTCCTATCCCCTTATGTTTCAGCGACGGGAAATCTTCACTTTGAATCCCTGGGACCCGCGGGACGCTTATCACCTTCGTCAGGTCACACCAAGGAGGCATCCTTCGCTCACCTTTCACACTCCTTTTTTTACACTCTTTTTACACCATTTTATACCCTTATTATATATATTATATTTTTTTTCACACTTCTTTTTACACCTTTTTATACTTTTATTTACAAAATATTTTAAACCTTTAAAAACACCACATGATTGTTTTTAGAGTGGGATGCTTGTGGGCCAATGGCATATGGCTTTTCTATTTTCCTTTTCTATTTTCCTTTTCTATTTTCCTTCGACCTCCCCTTCCCTCCCTTCCGCCCTCCCGCCTTCTCTACTAACGAGCTCTCATCTGTCGTTCAGAGATCAACATCGACCAGGCAGCAACGGATCTGCACAACAACGACCATTCGCTGCTGCCGTACAACGCTCCGTACCTTGTACGTCACATTAATCACGTGCCACCCCATCTTCTGCAGGTGCCGTCGCTTCATGGCTGTAGCACCCAGTACGGCTCCGCCCGGTGTACGGGAAGTGTGCGTGGGCCCGTCAGCTTCCAACGCAATCCGTAGCTGCGGCAACGTGATGTCGATTGAGTAGCCTGAATAGGAGACGACACGCCGCCGCCGCCGCCGCAGCAGCAGCACAGCCGCCATTACCGTAACCATCATAACGGTCATCGTCGCCGTCGCCGTCGGGGAGCATCGTCAGAATACGAGAGTACGGATACACGTTATGTCAGCCAAGCCAGAAACAAAAGAAAATTCTGGTTTAGCTCTATACCTCCGGATCCGACGCAAACATTCCTGGACAATACGCGATAACGATAAAACATCAATTTTGAATTAATTATATAGAAGGGGCTAAAGCGCTAGGCTCCTCATAGATTTGTGTGTTCGCTACGGCTGTCAGCGCTGTTCGAATTACACGCCGTACTCCTACAAGGATTTCACTTCACTGGAGAAATCTAGAATTTGAATTCAGCTGTCTCATCCCATCATCGTCCCATCCCATCATCGTCATCATCCCGTCCCATCCCGTCCCGTCCCATGCACTGAGATAGAGGTTTGAGAGCAAATCCTAGGCAGACCCCAATGTACGACAACGTACGGCGCCGTTGCAGTAACACATGACTAAATTTTATTAAATGTACTGTCGGCCCGTATGTAAATGATCGCGGCCAGGCGGCCCCCAGCAACTCTTGGCAAAACCGTAAATGCCGCCGCCCGCCAGAAGCCTTCGTCATCTTGACCCGTGCTTCATCCCGCTGCTAGCTAGATCCGATCATCTCGCCTCACCCATACCTGGACCCGGACCGACCCATGGGTCAAACGGACCCACCGACCTCACCGGTGCAGTTATCTTCTAGCAGGTGCATCAGCCGCAGCCCTGTCAATGAGTTGGCCATCTGACGCTGATAGCCGCTCTGGACCCGCCTTCGAAACCCACTCGTGGCCGCCAAGAAGACGTCCCGGGACCGAAGCAACAGCGAACGGGCAGCAGCAAAACCAAGCCCGCCGCCCCCTCCGGTGGCGGCTGCCGCCGCCAGGCCCGCCGTCATCAGGTTCTCTGCCGCCGTTGTGGCTGTGTACGACGGTGGCGATGCGGATGACGATGAGAACGGCGACGATGATGATTCTAAGTGTACGGCAAGGTTGGCCTGCCAGATTTGCGTCAGGACCGGCTCCGACGGCGGTACGTCCGCGGCACGATGGAGGAGCTGAGTCCAAGCGGACCTGTATATATTGATTTCATGCGGCAGGATGTACGGAAAACGGAGTATTTGTACGGCGATGTACGATGTATGATGTCCAAAATCCCGCAGTTGGCAACGGGGCAGAGGAAGGCGGCTCCTGCTGGGACTTTGAAAAACTTTCAAACCTCTTCAAACGCCTCATCTGTGATCGACCTGGCGCGACCTGAGCTCGTCCCATCTCAGCTCTCGTCCCAACCGACATCCTCAACTAACACCCCCGCGACCTGGTCTCACCTGAAGGGCACCGTATCCACCTGCTCCATAACCGCCAGCGCCCACACCACTCCAGAGAGTTGTTGCGGAGTGAAGCTGCGAACATCACCGCTCTGAACAACCTGCCTGCCTCTTCCTCCTCCTCCTCTTCCTCCTCCTCCTGGAAATATATTCCACCATTACCGAACAGCGGTAGGCGGGTAGGGTACGGATGATGGATATAGATAGTACACACCGCAGACAGTTATACAGAACAAACAGGATGATGTATGTACGGGCCCCCCTGTCAAAACTTGCTTATTAGTTAGCTCCTAAAAGCTGTTACTTACTCGAGCTGCGTTTCCCTCGGGCCCTGGCCTTCGGACTCGTTCGTCCGTCCTCCGAAACCACGGCGGTTGCAGTCGTACGCTCGCGCCATGACCAGTCGGGCCGTATAGTGAGCAGCAGACGTTCCGGTCGATATCCTAGGGATGCAAAGCCCCATAATACGCGAGAGAGGTCCCTGGGCTGCATGGAGGATAGCCCGCCAGACTGCGCAAAGGATCAATCAAACAGAAAACAATCAAAGGAATAAATAACAAAGGATTAAAGCGACGGATTAAATTACAAGGGATGACAGAAGAACTTCAAAATATTTGCAGGATGGCAAACGCAAACAGCAACATTCCAAGGCGACATTTTGTCACTATGGTAATCAGGACCTCGGACAAGGTCTCACAAACTCCTCCATGCTTCCTAAAATGACTTTCAAAGTCAACAAATTGTTCAATTTGGATGGCGTGGCTAAAAAGCATCCCTTATCAATAAACTTATAACTCACCACTTATTTATGTTTGCAAGGTCTTGCTGATGAATGCTTAACATCTCAACAAATGACCGTTCTCAAATCAATTTAAAGCCCTTTACTCTCCACCCGCCTCACCCTCAGTATGCTGGTCTCCAAGTCCATCAATCTGGGAGTTGCATGGCGGCTGTTGCCTAGAGCCCACAAGACCTGGCCAGCCTGCCACCCGCTCAGCCCGCCTGATGCCGCCGTGGCCGCCGTGCCGCCCGCTGCTGCCGCCACCGCTGCCAGGCACCGTACCAAGATGGTCACAGCAGCCTCTGTCTCTGCTTGGAAATACGGCGACCCACCCTGCATACGAAAGGATGTCGTACGTGACTGTGCGTGACATGATCATGACGTGTCTTTGTACGGTGTAAACAGCGACATACAGATACTTGCACACGAGATAGATTACGTCACAGGGTTACTACATCATCTCACGCAACGAACTCCACAACGAACCAGGAACCGCCAACTGACAGTTGGGGCACGAAGGAGTACGAATACGCCCATGGCTCACCAAGCTGGACATGCCCCACAGCGCCGAAACCAAACACTCAATCTTTGTGGCTCGGCGTAATGCTGCTTCTGTGACGACAGGGTCGACGGTGGTCCCCCCCGGCACAGGTGTCGCCACAGCAGGCTGTACGGCACCCGGCGGCTGCACTCCCATGGCAGCCTTATCGTGGGTTTGGACTGTTGCCACGGCCGCCGCCGCTGCCGTGGATACGGCAGGTACGACATGACCGTTGACATGGCCGGCCTGCATGTGCTGCGGCTGCTGGCTGTACCGCATCGAGTCCTGTAGCTTTTGATACTTCGAGATAGCCGTGTACTTCGCAACCAGACTGTCGTACACAGGGTCGTACAACGACGGCGTCTTCGCCGACAGTCCATCATCTGTCTCCGCTTCCTTAGCCCCATCATCGCTATCGGTCGCCGCCGCCACACCCCCTGCCGGTGATGCCGTACAAGAGGCAGCCGGCGCCGCCGGCGCCGCCGTTGACCGAGCTCCCTGATCATCTGCTCCCCGTGGTGCTGACGGCCTTTCGGAAAGGGCTAGGGTAGTGCTTGCAACGCCACCTGCAGTGGCGGCGGCGCTGCCGCCAGCCCCGAGTGGAGCCTTCTTGACCCGTGGGTCATCGATAATCGAGTTAGCTGCCGTCGACTCCAGCCAAAACCTCTTCGCGGCGTCAAAGTACGCGGTGGACAGCTGCTGTGTGGCTTGTTCAGGCAACAGACGGGGCGGAGTGACGCGCAATGCCTCCGCCAAACCCTGGGCCTGTACGACGCGAGGAAGAACATAACACACAGGAGGAAAAGACGACGATCAGGATGCGTGCTCACCCCGCTGCGGTGCAGTTCATTCCCTTCTCCAAGCCCCTCCAATGCTTTTCCCCACAAAACGTTCAGGTCCTCCTGCCTAGGCCGTCGTCACAAATTGTGTGTATGCCTTTTTTTACACACATGCACCCTTTGCCTGTGGTTTCGGTGCACAAGGGCCATGTGTGGTGTGTGCATGGCCGTGGATGCATCTCACTAACACTTAACACACACAGACTGGGTTCCCCTCGAAACCCTCCCCCACTTCCTTTTCATTCCCCCGGGCACCTGTCGCCCCGCCGCTATTTCGAGACACCTCCATCCGCCTATTTCGTTGCGGCGGGCGGTTAGGGCGAGAACCCTCAGGCAGTGGGCCGCCTCCGCTGGGGACGGCGCCACGACCTGTTTTGATAAACATGGGTTTTAGGGTCAGCATTTTGTGACACATATTGTAAATCTTGGGTTTTGTAAGGTTTTATAAGCTTTCTACAGGGCGCAGGGGGAAAGGTCGCAGACGGAATGGACAGTTTAAGTAAGGAGCTTGTGTAGAGGGGAAAGAAAGAGAGAGAGAGAGAGGGGAGGGAGATATAGAGAGAGGCTAAAAAACAGAGGAATGACCAACCGTTAACCAGAACTGGCAACTGAATGTGCCAAAAGCTATCCAACGACCAGCCTACCGGCCGTCCAGAGTTCATATCCACCAAACGGTAACCGTTGGCGGCCCAATGCGGGTACGACAGCTCCAGGAAGTCTAGAACTTGCTGCGGAGTTGCGAGGCGTTGTAACACCGACACGTTGGCGGCGCCAGCAGATATCGGCTCCAGGGGGGCCACAAGCGGTGGCGCCGGCGCCACCGCAGCCGCGGTTGAAGATGCCTTCCTGGAAGAGCTTCCTTCATGCACCGCCGCTGCCGCGGCTGCGCTGGACGAAGTGGCGGGGACGGCGGCGGAACTCTTTCGCCGTACTGTCCGTTCCAAAAAGACCTCACCGACGGCGTTGGTGCGTACGGAAAAGCCCGCCGCCGCCAAACTGCCGTACCAGTCACTGCGACCCGACGGCGCACCGAGCCCACTCTTGCCGTGGCCGCCGCGACTGTTGTTGCTGCTACTGCTACTACCAAGCTCTTCATCGTTGTCTTCCGTTGAAGCAAGATCCGAATTTAAAAGCAGATCCGGGTCATCATCCTCATCGAATCCAAAATCTGGATCCAGATTCACGCCAGCGATACTGAGTCCTTCAACTTGATCATCATTAAGTCCGTTGCCTGCTTCGTCATCTGACTGCCGTACTCGAACAACCACCCCACGTAGCCGCAGCGCCTGTACGGCACACGCCACGGCATGGATGGCAAAACTAGGAAGTACATGGGCAATAGCACATCTCATGGCTCAGACCGTAAAACGATTCTGGTCGGGCTTCCGTACATCGATGATGTTTTTTACACTTGACTTGGCAATGGGGAACGAACACCGCTGTGGGGGTACACAGTGCGGATGGCTGTCTGTAAAACTGGTTTAAAACTGAACTAAAACTGACTTCAAACTGAACCAAAACCGAACTAAAACCGCTGGAAGCGAATTGCAACATTGGAGGCCTTCTACCGGATTCGTCCAATCCATCGGTGCGATTTTCTCTCTGCAGCGCAGGTTCACCGCCAGTACTGCACGACGGACCTCGATGACTTCCTGATTACGTCGAGCGTACGATGCCTCCAGCTCGACAGTTGTACGACCCCGTTTTGACGTCTCCACCGGTGCCGTACCGGGTTCCCCCGATAATACGAGCCCTGCCTGCGCTGCCGTACCGCTATGCTGCCCCTCTGCTGCGCCCTTGCCTCCACCTCCACCACTGCGGCGGCTTCCCAGATCTTGACGATCGCTGCCGCCACCGCCGTTGTCGTACGTGTCTTCGTCCGTACTGACACTCGCGAGCCCCGACTCGAGGGGCGACCCGTGGGACGTGCTCGCGACGTCCGTTCGCCCGCCGCCGCCACGGTGGCGGCGGCTAATGCCGCCCGTCCCATCCGCAGCGGAGGACTTGGCGGCGGCTCCGAAGCGACGCAGGTGGCGCTCTTGTCGTACTCTGGCGTGCTCTACAGGGGCCCAGCCAGAGGCCAGGAAGGGTTTTAAGAGTTTTCTTTTCTTTCGGGTTATTAACATTTTCTTCGAGGTTTTGAAAATGCATGCGGCAGCAGCAGCAGTAGTAGCAGCCGCAGCATGATCAGTAATGCCGGCAACACCAGTGGGAATAACGGCCAACGACCAACGACCCCTTACCTGCCACGTCATCCAGGCCCCAGTCCTGCTCGTCCTCATCACGCAGCCATCCCACGCCGCTGCTGTTCAGCTCCCGAAGCAGATCTTCCGGATCTGGCGTACAGTACAATCGCTAAAAGTCATTGCTTGTACGGCAAGTCATGCTGCCGCTCGACGCGCAGTGAAGGGCAAGAGGGCCTAGGTCGTCCCATTTTTAGAATCATCCGCAAAAGAGAGCGTAACTGGGTGCGTGGCAATCGATAGACAGCTGTCGTACGTCAGAAAACCAGGGCTCGGGCAGGAAGGTGCTAGGCGGGACGACGGGCGGGAAGCGGCCAGGAAAGGAAAACAGGAGAGCCGAGAGGTGCGTTCCCAAGGGGAAGGGGGAAGGGGGAAGGCGGGAGGGGCAACTCAGGGGGGTGAAGCTGCCGTAGGGTGAAGGCAAAAGGGAAGGTGAAGTCGCCGACGCGAAGCATCCTTGGCAATGCAGTAGGGCGGATGCCGACGGATCTTGAAAGGAATCCGACAGGCGGTACGGCGCTCCACGCTCGGAAAAGGCTTGGAAACCGGCAGTACGGCACCAATCTTACCTGTAGCCTCAGGTTCGGGGCCTATTCTCCGCGAGCCGTTTGCCCCTGGGGACTTCCTGCGCGGCCTGACCGATGACGGCTTGTAACGCTTTGCGTGGCAAGTGCAGCGGTTGCCGAGCGACCTAGAAGCAGAAAGACCATCCACCGCTTGGCGGCTGAACTTGAGCGGATGTCGGCCCCACATGATGCCAAACATGTTGTAAGTCTATTGGATTATTGTTTGCCGCAAAAGTCGATGTCCCCTAAGCTGCATGGCCTGTCAGCTCTGTCTCGCCGTCTCGCCTAAGTCGTCATGCGGCGGGTATACCGGCCGCGTTGGGTATGGACGCGTATCGGGTTAGAGAAATCGAAATGATGAATTCGCCAAAATCACCACACGTACATATCCGCCTAAAGAAGGTGTGTCACTAAATCTACGAGTTGAATGCAAGCAGGAGAGGAATACCGGTTGGGTCGAAAGCGCCCCAAAAGGAAAACTTTGCATTCTTCTTCAGCTTCATCGTCGTGAACCTGCTTAGCCTTAGACCTCGGAATTTAGGTTCTGCCCAACGGCCAACCGCTACTTGTCTGGTTCCAAGTCTTTCAATCCGACGATATCGAAGTTAATTGTGTCATTACTTATAATCCACCAGTAACTCTGATAAGCTCACATGGTAAGTCAACTTCACTTTTACTTATTTTAGGCATGTTTGGACGCCAGCAGCGGCTACACGGCCGCGCTTCTTAGAACCATCTAAATTTTAGAAGCTGGAGAAACACAATAATTGGTATCACAATTCCTAGTGCGCTTGTATGTGCCACCCAAAAAGTGCCATTTCCCCTCCCCCCCCTCCCGGAGTGCCTATGCCCCGGAGTGGAAGTTGGCTAACGAACTACGGCGAGGCCAGGAACACCAATTGAGTTAATTATTGCTTTTCTTTATAGCTTAAATTTTGCACAAAGCGGTCATACTTTGGTAGATGGAAACTGCGACTGCCGGACAGAGGTCACACATTTACATATTGCCAAATGAACGTACTACAGAAACTGCATAGCTAAAGAAGAGTTATTGCTTTAACTAGTTTAGCAAAGAGCTTCACGCGCGGGCACCTCCGACTTCGACCTCAGGTTGGCCGATGATGATGACAGGACTTCTCGCTTTGTACCCATTCAAAAGCACCGAAACGCATAGGATTGGTGTGGAATCTAGCACATGCAAGACATTGCGTGGTCGACGTTTAGGGGGCGCATGATGCCCCGGCAGCGCTTTCTGGGCCTCCAGGAGCCCCAAAACGGATTGTCTAGGATCGATCCATTGCAGATAGATCGTAAGCGCTGGTCTGACGGTCATAGGGCGCATAGCAGCTGGATGGCTTTCAGACTGCCGGCCATGGGAACCCGGGAGGCGTGCTGTTGGTGCGGGGCAAACCAGGGCTGTCGGGTGACCGGCGGAGATGGATGGGTGCACCACCAATTGATATACACACAGGGATGTATTCTAATCGGGGCGCTCGGCGGTACTCCGCCTGGAGCAAGCAGGTTTAACTCCTGCCGTCCTGTTCCTTTCATCATCCTCCCACAAAGAGTCCCCCGCAATTCTTGTACATCACAGCGCACTCCTAGACCGGCTGGATTTGAGAAAGAGATCCGGAAGAGCTTGCGGCCCTCCCGCGGCTTACCCTCGGGCGAAGACGACAGAGGACTAGTCTCGCGCCCTGTTGGTAGGATACGGGGAAATAACAAAAAGTTTAGAAGGCGCCTGTTATCTACTGCGTTTGCATCCCAATCCGTGAAGGTTATCCACCTCTCTGTGCTTTCACTGACATAGTGACAGGGCGACGGTGGATGAAACCGGTACAGTAGCACTATACCACGTAAGACCAGTGTAAGAGTACGCAATTGCAGGAAAGAGCCGCTTTGTAGAGTGAAAGAAAGGCGAGCAGTCGCAGGATTACAGCCTGTTCGTTGATTTGCATAAGGCAAATGGCTAAGCTCACGGGCCTACACGTTTGCCATTGAGAGCCATGAGTGAATTATGATTACCGTGGACCCATAGGCCGACCCCCAAGGTTTCCCCCCCTGTAAGCCCCGCTTGAGGTCTTGGCACACCTATCCTGGCTCGTGATGTGCGCGGCGGCTGCCAGGGGAATCCCCCTCTACTGAACCACGCCTGAAGGCCCCGCCTGTTTTCTCTTCAGCCCTCAGACGACGGGCCTGTGCTCTGCAGTTCTACTCCTGCCACCCGCGGAATGGGGTGATGTCGCCCCACCGACAACCAGCCCCATGTAGGGACCCAAAGTTGCGCAAACCCAAAAAATCCGTTACAGCGTGTCTTGGGCCTTTCTCCGCCAGGAGGTCCCCAGCCTGGGTCCGCATGTCCTTTGTTTCATTGCAGCCGCCATGAGCCTACTCCTTGTTTCCAACCGCCACATCCCACATACATTGTTCCGCTGGCACCGGTGTTGTGTCCGTGTCAGCCAGCAGTGCCCATCGTCCTCATGCCTCCGCTTCAATCGGCATGCTCACCACCCTCCCACCGGATCCAATTAAGGTTTTAGTAAAGCCCGTCTGTCCAATCCGCTGTGGACGTGACACCTACGCCCCCGTCCGTGCCCACACCCCCACTCGGAGACATTGCCGACACTGGCAACATTGCTGATCCCGTCACCACTACACCTTGATCCTGAGATCCACTGCCGTAACCCGGGACCTGCTGTGCGTGGTGCACCCCTTCCAGGGTTTCGCCCACCAAACAAGAGCGCCCCACTCGTCACCCCGCCATGTAGCTGGTAGCTGCAGTCCATGCCTCCACCAGTCATGAACGGGTCACCGTGATGCCGTATACACCAGCGGCCGTGAATACGCTGCTGGCCCCACCATCCGCCTTGTATTCATCTCCGTATTCCACTGCCTGTCGATCACGTAGCTGTCCCAGGCCATGCATGTCACTGGTCGTGAAACCCCCATGGCCCCCTTAGTAGCTACCCGACTGGTCCCCGCCGTATCCCCTCCCGTACAAGCCCCACCCGGGGCCCGCACTGCTGCGCTGCGCCGCCAGGCTGGTCGTCGCTGCTGCCGCTGCCGCAGCGGTGACGGGCGCACCGTGATAGCCAGCGGCCACCGCCACCACCGCAGCCGCCACCGCATCGTCATAACCACCCGACTGGTCCCCGGGACTCTGTGGGAGGATGATGAAAGGAACAGGACGGCAGGAGTTGAACCTGCTTGCTCCAGGCGGAGTACCGCCGAGCGCCCCGATTAGAATACATCCCTGTGTGTATATCAATTGGTGGTGCACCCATCCATCTCCGCCGGTCACCCGACAGCCCTGGTTTGCCCCGCACCAACAGCACGCCTCCCGGGTTCCCATGGCCGGCAGTCTGAAAGCCATCCAGCTGCTATGCGCCCTATGACCGTCAGACCAGCGCTTACGATCTATCTGCAATGGATCGATCCTAGACAATCCGTTTTGGGGCTCCTGGAGGCCCAGAAAGCGCTGCCGGGGCATCATGCGCCCCCTAAACGTCGACCACGCAATGTCTTGCATGTGCTAGATTCCACACCAATCCTATGCGTTTCGGTGCTTTTGAATGGGTACAAAGCGAGAAGTCCTGTCATCATCATAGGCCAACCTGAGGTCGAAGTCGGAGGTGCCCGCGCGTGAAGCTCTTTGCTAAACTAGTTAAAGCAATAACTTTTCTTTAGCTATGCAGTTTCTGTAGTACGTTCATTTGGCAATATGTAAATGTGTGACCTCTGTCCGGCAGTCGCAGTTTCCATCTACCAAAGTATGACCGCTTTGTGCAAAATTTAAGCTACAAAAAAAGCAATAATTAACTCAATTGGTGTTCCTGGCCTCGCCGTAGTTCGTTAGCCAACTTCCACTCCGGGGCATAGGCACTCCGGGAGGGGGGGGAGGGGCCATTCCAAGCTCCGCATGGGCTCCCACCAGAACCCAGAACCAAGTTGTCATTGACAGTGTGCCCAATTATAACTGTCAGCTTCATTTCGTTTTGCAGCAGCTGTCAATTGGCTGGCCACCCGCGGGCTGGGCACCACTGCTGCTCCGGTTGCCGCTACCGCCTGACCGCCCCCTGTGTCGCGAACATCAGTACCTGCTGCTGGCGCTGCCAGCTACACCACGTTTGCCACCATATCACTCATTATTTCTTAACAACAACAAGGCACGACGACGACCCTGAGGTCGATCGTGGAAGCCTTAAAGGCAATTAGGATATAAACCGTCGCGATGCGTGGCGTCGTCGTACTTCATCATAAACCAGCACGCGCTTCCGACGACTGCTGACTGGAAGCACGCTGCCGGCGGCAGGTGCCGTACCGGCTACCGATTGCCGCACCGTGAATTGTGCAGCACCAAAACAGATCTCGCTGCCGCCGCAAGCATAGCAGGCTCCACAGGAAGCCCAGCGAGAACTGGTATCATATAGAGGGTGGGACACAAGGTCGGGGAGAGCAATTCTTTGGACTGCCCCGGTCGCACAATTCTTGTGCTTACCTAATTCGACACCCCGACAGGCTAATTCTGACTGTCGGAATGTCCCCGCCAGGCCAATTCGACACCCCGACAGGCTAATTCTGACTGTCGGAATGTCCCCGCCAGGCCAATTCGACACCCCGACAGGCTAATTCTGACTGTCGGAATGTCCCCGCCAGGCCAATTCGACACCTCGACAGGCTAATTCTGACTGTCGGAATGTCCCCGCCAGGCCAATTCGACACCCCGACACGCTAATTCTGACTGTCGGAATGTCCCCGCCAGGCCAATTCGACACCCCGACACGCTAATTCTGACTGTCGGAATGTCCCCGCCAGGCCAATTCGACACCCCGACAGGCTAATTCTGACTGTCGGAATGTCCCCGCCAGGCCAATTCGACACCCCGACAGGCTAATTCTGACTGTCGGAATGTCCCCGCCAGGCCAATTCGACACCTCGACAGGCTAATTCTGACTGTCGGAATGTCCCCGCCAGGCCAATTCGACACCCCGACACGCTAATTCTGACTGTCGGAATGTCCCCGCCAGGCCAATTCGACACCCCGACAGGCTAATTCTGACTGTCGGAATGTCCCCGCCAGGCCAATTCGTGTCCCTGTCAGGCCAATTCAAGGGCCTGTCGCGGCAATTAAACTTGTCCTGGGTGTAGACCCCGTGCCAATTTAAACCCGTGTACCAAGCTCTTTAGACCAATTGCAGGGTCTGCCCGGAAACTCTCAGGCAGGCATCCAGAATCGCGGGAGTTGAAGGAACTTTATGAAACTCTGTAAGGGCAGCACTTACCAAGTATCTCTCATGTGTACTGTGTTGGTTTCAAATCCGTACATGGGGCAGGAAGCGGCGGGAACCCCACACGCCTTGTTACAGTACTCCGTACTCATTCATTCATACAGTCAATTTTTTTTGTGTGGCCGACAGTACTCAGCGCAAAGAACCAAACGGTGTTTTCTTTTCAGCCATTTTGGATGCAGCCACCACAAGTGGACCGGCCATGTCCAGAATTAACGGGCAACTGAGATCCAATGGTTAACATGTGTGTGGTTGTTACAGTGAGTTAACAAGTCACGGCATGTGCACGCGCACGCGCACGCGCACGCCTACACCACTCACGCATGTTGACTCACTGCATCATGCACTGCATCATCATACCTCGTTGTTGTTGTTGTGATGTTTCGAGCAGCCGGACGAGTTCACTGCGTGGTGCATCCGCCTGAGCGTACCCCTGTAGCCTCTCTCTATCAGCCTGGAGAAGGGACGCCTGCCCCGCAAACTCCCTGTCCAGCGCCAGCAGATCTGCCCACTCGGCGATCAATGCGGATGCGACCGTCTTGAGCCGTTCAATGAGCTCAACGTGCCCTCCGCAAACTCCAGTCCCTCGGCAAAACGGAAGGGGATAATGACACCTGGGTCGGCCGCGACTCACCGTGTCACAGCAACTCGCAGTGCGGCAGCGTCGGCTGAACGCTTCAATTGGTGATTTCTGTTGAGGGCCTGACATGCGGCACACGGCCGTCCAGCTGAGGAGGAGAAACTGCAGACAACGGACCGGATGGAGTCAATTTCGCCGATGTAGGAAGCTGGAATAAAGTTAACCTGCGAGTCGACCAGGAATGGAGTTGGGCCGCTGTCGACCCGGCAGATTCTGTTGGATGCCGGTGGTGGGTGCGGGACCTGAGCGATCCACTGAGAAGTTGACTAGGGTGACTGGATGAGGGTGCCCCGAAATACTACCGGGGAAGGCAGGGTTTTGCAGGGTAGCTGCCACGGGTGAAGGTATACCCCCCTGTTTCACACATCATACAAGTATTGTGGGATAAACTGGACAAACTGCCGATGAAGTGAGGTAGGAAAACAGTGGGGCCTCGGTGGCTGACTTACTGGGTAATGCAGTCGTGGCCCTGAGTGCTTGCCTCCCGACATTGCCAGAGTACGGTAACCAGGCGTGCAAGTTTTCCTGCCCCACGTCCTGGGATCGAAATCAACACGCACATGAGCCACTTGTAAGCGGTCCCCTTGCAAAATTTTCTGTAAATTCCTTAAAAGTCATGCGATTCCGGATGCCAGCCTGAGCTAATTCTGCCAACTCGACAGCCAATTCGACACCCCGAACAGGCTAATTCAGGCCCAACACAGCCCAATTCCGGGGCTCCACAGCGCAATTCTAATACCTCCGGCGAGCCTGCCAGGACAATTCGAGACCCCGACGGACCAATTTTTTTGTCAGGAATAAAATCCAGGCTAATTCTGCGACAGAGCTCTTCCCCAATTCCAGCCCGGATCCTACCGTCCTTATCATACAATATGCAACCGGACATCCGTTGGCATCGGTGTCGGCGAATGGGACATGACACTGGCAGTAGCATGTAGTAGCGTGTAGTGTGTCTGTGTGTGTGAGTGTGTGTGTGTGTGTGTGTTACGTGATTGGAATGCCCAGCCTATAATGATATTCGTGCTGGAGAGGGATTCGATCATCAACAGAGCATGTTGAAGGCCATGAAATGGGAACTAGTACGTCTGGCGAGGATGTTGGAACGTATGTGGGCTCACCGAAACTCAGTTACCCCCTTTGGACGCTAGTTTGGGCTGATGTGCGGTGTTTCCTGTTCTCCGTGGCTTTTAGGCGTATAGATATTGCCCTTGGGCCTTCGGCTCGTATGGGTAGTTTTAAGGTATGGGGTGCGTGACCCCATACCTGTAGAACTACTACCTCAAACGAGCCGAAGGCCCAAGGACATGTAATAGCATGTAGTAGCATGTAGTAGCATGTAGTAGCATGTAGTAGCATGTAGTAGCATGTAATAGCATGTAGTAGCATGTAGTAGCATGTAGTAGCATGTAGTAGCATGTAGTAGCATGTAGTAGCATGTAGTAGCATGTAGTAGCATGTAGTAGCATGTAGTAGCATGTAGTAGCATAGAAGTGCCTGAGGCGTACGTTTAGTACTTCATCACACGCTAGACGGAGAGGAAGGGATGCCAGAGCCAGGCAAAGAGCCAGTAAAGGAGCCACAGTCAAACCTGGCACAGGAACATGGTGAGTTCCTAGGCGTTGGCCAAGGCGTCCAAAGCCTGCTGCTGCCACCCACATCGTCCACCTCCCGCCAGGGAGGGACGCATATGCGCATGCATGCACGCAGAATGAGGGACCCTGCCGGCACGAAGTTGGCAAAAAGCGCAGCAGCAAGACGGCGTCCCAAAAAACCCGCAGGTTGAAGCAGTACATGGCAGCTCCGTGGCGCTGCTGGTGCAGGAGAGTGTGTGGGGTTGGAAGACCACGCAAATAGTACGTCGCGTCATACGACAGTAGCATCGACAAAACGGTACGGTCAACGTGTACGGTGAAATGAACGTGACGCTAAAATGTCATGACAAGTACTCGCGCGAAATGCCACGGAAAGCTGATCCCTTCTTTTAGGGGTGAGGTCTCCGCCAAGCTCATGACGTGATGGCGTGCGAGGAGGTGTGCAAGCAGCTGCAAACGGAGGGAGGACGCTGCAAAGGGAGGTAGGACGCTGTTTGGTCCAGTGGTTGACTGTGGCCGGCGTTCTGTGGTTAGCTGTGGCACGCGCACTGAACGCTGCACGCTACACCTGGATCAAGTCTCATACGTACTTGGCAAGCTAACCAGGGCAGGCGGCGTCTCGAACATGTGCCTGCTTGCTTGCAGCTGCTGCGCTCAATCTTCGCCATTTCCGCCCGTTTCCGGGTTCGGTGGCCATTGGATTGAATTGGATGCAGACTTGCAGCAGGCTTGGCAACGCTTTAATGTCTTGCGTTTTAAGTAAGACCTGCCGATGCCATCGATGCGTGTCAACAACAACAAACAGACTCCCGCGCGCGGCAGCAGCATCCACAGTCGCTCATTGTCGCTCATCCAGGCTCATCAACAAGCGCGTATTCAGGTTCGCAACAGCTGTGACGCATGGTTTACAACCGGTTTGCAAGGGCTGCGCAGGCATATGTGCGGATAGATGGAGGCCCGGTGCTTGACTACTTGTCACTCGTTTGACTCGGTTTTTCGCCCTGCCTGAGGACAACTCCAAAGAATCAAACATGAAACAGGGTCAAACATTTATATGATATTATTAATAAAAAAAATGGTTAAGATGCTCTTCGGTGACGTTTGGATGCCCGGCTGCCCGGCTACTGGTTGCGCGGACACGGGAAACGGGTCAGTCGTTTTGATTATATCTAATTAATTGTAGAAATCGTATGTTTCAAAAATATGATGAAGCTCCTTCTTTGTATTCCGAATTAACATGCAGCGACAACAAGCGCTTGCTTGCGCCTGCTTGTTCCATACAAGCAAGCGAGAGAGCTTGCCTGTAATGCAGGCTGGATGAGTTAATGAGCGCAGTATACTAAACATTAGAAAAGACAAGGGTACTCAGCTCTTAAGTGCCGTCCCCTTCAGAGCGACACTCCTGAAATCAGCTTTATTCCCGCAGGCAACGCTCCGGTTGCTTTTTCACAAGCCACATAAAACGAATATGAAAGATAAGCACATGTTTAATCTGTTGCTGTATGCCTGGGCTCCAGTTTCAGGGAGCTGTCCTAAAGACTGGCTCCGGAAGAAGCTCCTCAGCATATGTAGCCGTGAAGTGATTGATTGATAAAGAAATACCTTACACTGGTCTGTGATATCTAGGGAAACTGAAAAGCCTCACGTTAATCCACAGTGCTGCTCTGCTTTCATGTAGGAAATCATCAACTTTCTGAATGCGTGGGCAGATGATTAGGATGCGTAAATGGACCGGACCGGACAGGCATTGTAACAAAGCAAAGGCGTAACCCGGGATGCTCAGTTGGGCCTTGCGTCGTTACATTGCCCCCCCTTTAGCAATGGACGTCCGCGGCCATTATATCGAGCATTGGAGCCATCCCACCTCACGCATTGTGCGCTGGTTTATCCATTACCCATGATATCGCTTTCTGCGATACCTGCTTGTTGTCAGAATCGAACCACCGACCCGAAGATTTCATCGGAAGTCGTGCGGCCCCGTCTCGATACCATTGTAACAAAGCAAAGGCGTAACCCGGGATGCTCAGTTGGGCCTTGCGTCGTTACAGGCATGGTGCCGACATGGCCGACCGATTCATCGATGAACAAGCAAGGTTGGTGCTTCAGGATGGAGCCAACCAAGGCCCGAACGTTTTTGCGATTAGCAGTATGCTGAGCAAACAAGAACAAAACATGTTCAGGAGAATGCACTTTTCCAGGTATTACTTGCATAAAGATGGCCTTCTCCACCTTTTGAGCTCTGAAAATTTGTGATAATCTCAGCAGTGTATGCTATCCGGTACTTGGTTTGCGATATCTGGATTGAGTGGGTCTGAGTGCGCGAGCGACGTGGATCTGCGTAAAACCCTAGTCCTTGCGCGTTGCGTATGTTTGCCCTCTCATTATTCTAGATATGTGAGTAATTTCTTTGTTTATGCTGACTGCAGGGCTGGGAGGGAAGATCCACCACCAGGCGCAAGGCGTGCCTCGATCTGATGTTTCTTTCGATAAAGTAGCCGAATATGTCGGATGGGTTGACGAAGCTGCTTGGAGCCGTCGCAGTTGCGGCTCGTGCAGCGAAAACTAGCAAGCACATCGTAAAACAAATTATTTTTCACAGTGTATAAAAAAAATTCTTTTAGATGCAAATGCCTTGATAACCGATAGAGTGCAGGTTTCGGCGACTCCCAGCAGTTGGCGCTGTTGTCTTGATGAGCATGTTTGGTCACGGGAGGGAGACACCGGCGGCTGAGATAGCTATAATAACATTTAACAAAGACGCTCGCTCATTTGCGCCATGATAATTACGTATACAGCTTTAAAACTCATTTTTCTCCGCCTGCTGCTGCTGCTGGGACGATTTACGGAGAGCTCTGCGCACGGAGCACGCCGCGGCCTGTAATCGGAGAGCGATCTATTATCATGGTAAGAAACATATGTCAATAAAGAAACAGCTTCCTGGATGCGGGATCCGCTGCTTGGCCCGGAGGATTAGGTTCCAGCATGCCGCAGCCGAGCGTTATCCTTAGGCCATCGAGAACCATTTCATGAATTCATTCATATTATTAATCTAATTATTGCTCATTATGGATGCCGTGCAAGGCTATGCAAGCGAGCTGATGTCCGACGACATGCTGCGGTGCCGGTGTCTTTCAGTCTGCTGTCGCGTTATGTGCGCGCACCTTACTGCCATTTCGCACACATATATCGGCCGAGTAGATGGCCTCCGAAAAGCTGTCGGATGGTTAAGTTCACTCATGTTCCTGCGACGCGCACATCCTTTTGTTAGTATTGACAGTATCGGGGTGACCAACTTGCATGTATACCTCTTCACTCCACGCGCGCGCGATGCTGCATGACCTGATTGCTGGTTCTGTTCGCAGGCTTTTGCTATGGGAGGGGGTCACCGACCCGCTGAAGAGGAGCAGCAGCTTCACCAGCTGCTGCTCGCACACCCGCAGGAGGAGGGCCAGCCGCTGCCGCAGCCGCAGCCGCAGCCACAGGGGGAGGTGGAGGAGGAGGAGCCGCCGCCGTGGGAGGACGATCCACAGCCATGGGAGGAGGATCACCATCATCAGCCGTGGGAGGATCGTCAGCATCAACGGTGGGAGGAGGATCTTCTTGATCAGGAATGGGAGGAGGATCATCACCAGCACAACCACCGCCGCCGCAACCATCAGCGTCTTCATCACCGACGTGGCAACGGCAGGCCGCTGGGCCCAAACGATAACCGCGATGGCGGTAACGACGTTGACGGCGACAACAATGACGGCGACGGAGCCGTCCACGACGACGAAGCCGTCGACAGCAACATAGCCATCAACGATGACGGAGCTATCGACCGCGATGGAGCCATTGAAGACAATGGAGCCTTCGACAGCGACGGAGCTATCGACAACGACGGAGCTATTGACAACGACGGAGCCATCAACGATGACGGAGCTATCAACAGCGACGGAGCCGTTGACGAGGCCAGTGACGCCGGTGATCCCCTTGACGACGTTGACGATGGTGATAATGGCGGGGACGATAGCGATGATGACGACGATGCTGGCAGCGATGTGCTTGATGGCATGGATACAAACAGCAGTGATAGCAGCTTCGATAGCGACGACGACATTTGGCACCCCGACAACTAGGCTGCTATCCAAATCACCTCGGGAATACTAAAAATGCACATGAGCAGATTTCTTCATTTGTTCAACAATCGGTCCAGATATGTAGGTCGATAGTGACCCACCTTCTTTCGTGTCCCGCTGCCAACCCTCCAGCTTGCCACTCTATGTACGACGTGCGTCAGGTTGCTGGAGGCAGGTTGTTGTTGATGCTGATGTTGTTACAGGGTGGTTAAGCTACACCAGTGGCCTCCTTCCCGAGGCAGTTCCCTGCTCTCCCCTGCTAGAGGGGCACCCGCCCACCCGCCCCCAGGTTGTGTCTGTCATGGATTGGCTGGGTCGTGTGTTCGTTCGTTCGTTCGTTCGTTAGTTTGTTCGCTTCCTTGTAGGGCAGTGTCAGCATGCAGGGTGATACGTATATACATCACTTTTTCATGCACGGGACCCTGCTGGACATACATACATATGGAATTTGTGAGTTTTGCTCCCGCGGTGGATCCAAGGTGTGAGATGTGCGTCGTGTTCTTCTAGAGGTCCCAGCTTATTCTGCATGTCGTGAGTGCTTGGAGGTAATCCAAGCCACGATTCTGATAAGAAGACGATTATGATGGGCAGCGAGAAATCAAACCTTGCCTACCTGGCACACAGCAATTGGCTTATTACACGCTCGTCTCTTCAAAGGCGGTCGAACTTTGATCTGTGTCATTGTTGTCCCCCTTGTGTCTATTGCTAGGATGTTAGGACTTTTGCGTTGTGCTATGTTCCTAACCTGGCTTGTGTGGCTCTCATGAGGCTCTTGGGCCTCTGCTAGCTCGCACGGGCGCTCGTTACACCTCTCTGGGTAACGCAGCCGAGGTGTCGTTATTGTTGTGTGTGTGTGTGTGTGTGTGTGTGTTACATGGTCGTGGGGTTGTGTACCCCGTGCCTGCAAACCGCCCAATACGAGCCGAAGGCTCAAGGCTGCCAGATCGCCTGTAAGCACCGTCCGACCTCGCACTTCATACAAAGCAAGTGATAAAGGAGACGAACGACCAAAGGGAACCATAGATTTGCGGTGGGAGCACGTACATATGTTCCAGCATCCTACACAAACCCTCTCAGTGTGCGGGGTCGGTCGGCAGCTGCGGGGAGGCTTCCGGTTGTAGGGACAGCCATCATGCTGGGCACCTTTCGATCAGCACTTACAGCCATGCCACACCACCCAATTCGACTCAGCTGGCCTGGCCACCCGTGCCCCATATGTGTTGCACCTAAGCCAGTCACCACAATGTCACGGTCATCGTGTGTGAGAGCGGCGGCTTCTGGCTCAGTGGATACTGGCCGCATGGCTACGAGGCTAGTAGAACGCCACCTTCATAAGTTTCCCCCTTCACTAGTCGTCAAAGATTCGAGTCAGCTCATGCAAAAAACATAATAAGCATCCTTTTGAAACACGTTATCTATGGCTACTAGCTATGGGCGGTGCCTCAAAGATTTGCTGTACTTTAGAGAGCTGTGAATGGGCAGCTAGGGTGTCTAGCTGCCCGCGGCCTAAAGGATGCAGCTGCACAGCAGCTGCGGCTTGGAAAAGCGCTAATCCAGCCACCAGACGGCCTTCCGACAGTCTGAATGCCACATTACAAATGATGTTGACAATATGGCATGAGGTTTTTGGCGTTTATTTTTTTCACTTTTCACGACTTTAAGTAAAAACATAAGTTTCCCGAGCAAAGCGCTAACAGAACGTGAGCTGTCGGGACATGATGCACTGCAAACAGTCGCACAGTCACGCGAGAATTTAAACGCGGTGCTGAGAGGCAATTATGGCCGCGGGATCCTTTCTTGTTCAAATTATCTAGCTGCCGAATATCCTCCTCACGACATCGAGACACCCACACCGACCGCAGCGCCCCACGTGCACGAATCCACGCAAGCCATGGAGAGTGACACCCACCCACCCACCCACCCACCCACATACATACGACGATTTGGTTAATTCATCCTGCTAAATTAGTCACGTAGCTAGGGTGTCAACAAGCTTCCTCGCTCATTACTAATCATGCTGCAGTGGGTCGCTTGCTAGCTATAGCTAGGCAGGTACGACTCGATATACATCATCAAATCTGCCACCACGGTCAACACGCAAACAGCAGGCCCGCCTGCAGCGGCTGCAGGAGGGCTGCGTGCGTGCCCTCTTCCTAGCTTCAAGCATCAGGTAGCCAGACACCTGCCCAGACACAGGACTCTCCCATCCAGCAGTACATGCTGCACCTATGACACCTTTTATGTACAATACTCCTAAACGAAACAACTCATCCATCAGGGCAAATGCGTCCGCGTGCGCGTCTCAACAAATGCGTCCGCGTGCGCGTCTCAACAAATGCGCGTCTCAACAAATGCGTCCGCGTGCGCGTATCAACAAATGCGTCCGCGTGCGCGTATCAACAAATGCGTGCGCGTGCGCGTCTCAACAAATGCGTGCACGTGCGCCTGTGTGAGCTTTGCAGCAAAGGTGTGTCATGCTGCGGTAAAAATGGAAGGGCCGTAAAGCAATGACCGCATACATCACACCACACAAACCCACGCCGACAGATTGACGGAGGAGCGCACGTTGGACGTTATGACGCGTTCGTCACCCAAGCGCGGCCCCAGCACGACCACTGCTCGAATTATTCCATCAACCTCTTCCCCTGGCGGACAACAACTCACCCAGCATGCAATATACAGCTGTCATTCCCTCCAAGCCATCTACTGGAAAACCCCCAAGCCATCTGTGTGCACCAGCAGCATGCCACCCCATCCAGCTATCGCTATGATGTATTCTGTTGGCAGCGGCTGCATACCCCACACATCATATAAACGTATTATACATGCCCCAATCAGGACGGCGCCACTACTGGCAATCGGCTTCGACAATTGAATCCGCAGCCCATACCCACAAGCATGCCCTTTCCTTCCCAGCCGCCACACCTTACCGTACCACGGCTAGACGGGCGGTAGGGTTTTCCCCCTCTTCCCGTCAGCCAGGCCAGGCTAAGGCGCCCTAGCTCAACACGCCGCTCTTCTCCTCACCCGCCCGTTAGAAGTTGAAGAAGTCGTCGTCATCATCAGAGTCGTCGTCATCATCAAAGTCGGACCCCGCGCTCTCCTCTTCGTCATCAGAGTCATCAGACTCATCAGACTCATCAGACTCATCAGACTCATCAGAGTCATCGCCCATATAATCCTTGTAGAGGTCAAGCCAGTAGTCGACGTCCTTATCGTCCACGGCGTTGCCGTCGCCATAACCGTCGTCGCCATGGCTGGCGCCGCCGCCGTCGCCGCCGCCCGGTCCCTCAACCGCGTCGCGCCACTGCCGAGCCCTCCAGTTCGTGAACCAGTCCTTCATCTGCTCGGAACAGAGGAGGTAATAAAAGGCGGGGAAAATAAGAGGGCTATTACATGACAAGTGCTTTTACATGCGGAGGTTCGCAAGGGGGGATATAATGGCAGGCAGCAAAAAATGACATGCGTGGACAGACATACAGGCGTGGATCATCAGCTACCATCGATCATCAAATATGCTGGACGGTGCCGACGGATGGATGTTTGCTAGCTGGTCATCACCCAGCTAGCCCAGCTGGTCGTCACCCAGCTAACCCAGCTGGTCGTCACCCAGCTAGCAACTTGCCTTCTTCCTGCTCATCCTGGAGTACTTCAGCAAGGACCTCCGGATGGTCCTCGTCAAGCGAGGCTTCGTGATGTTCGACATGGCCCAAACGTACCTTGCACAGCGCCTGGGAAATGGCAAGCACGCGCACCGTGCATGAGTTATATATGTGTGTGTATGTGTGTGCTAATGAGATTGGGGGTGCGTGACCCCATACCTGTAAAACTACTCCCCATACGAGCCGAAGGCCCAAGGGTGCTCGCACCGTGCATGAGTTATATATAGTAGTCGAAAGGAAGGAAGGATTATCCCAACCGGCTCATCCGCAGGTCTGGCTCATCACTGGTAGCTTCAGCAGCCGAGGAGAACACCGCGGCCGTCCTTCCCCCCTTCCATTCCTCCTCCGACACTGTAGCAGCTGCCGTACAGAGAGGCTCTTTGTTTTTCAGCTGCCGGACAGCAGCTACTACATACATAGACATACATACATGCATACACACTTTTTGAATCCAAGCAAACATTTTGGCTGGAGGTTTCAGTCTTGAAAAACGTAAAAAGAGTAAACCTACCGGAAGTGCTTGTGAAGCCTGGCAAGCAAGATATCTGCGACATCGATGGGAGTCCGCTGTTGTGTGGCCGATGGCGGCGTCGCAGTAGATGCACCATGGCTGCTGCTGTTATTGTTGTCGTCATCGCCGCTGCAGCTGGAAATCTCGAGGTACTCCAGGAAGAGCATCAACAGCGACGACCTGGCATTGCCCACGTCATACAGCATCTGAAGAGTGAACGGCGAGAAGGCCTCGATGGAGCCTCCTGAAATAGCTATTGGCGGTAGGGGGCGGGGTCGGCCGGGTGCAAGGTAAGGTCTTCAGTACAGTAGTTCCCGGAGAGTACAGTACTTCCCGGAGAGAGTAGTTCCCGGAGAGAGGCATGCTGCTGTATGTATATATGTACGTACGCCCATAGCAGCAACAAGATTGATCAAGCATGCATTCATCTCAAGCAAGGACACATACATGAAATGTTAATATTAGGATGCTGGAACGTATATGGCCCCACCGCAACTCTATCCTTCCCTTTGGTCGTTAGTATCCTTTATCACTTGCTTTGTCTGAAGTGCGAGGTAGGGTGGTGCTTATAGGCGATCTGGCAGCCCTTGAGCCCTCGGCTCGTATTAGGGCGGTTTGCAGCTACGGGAAACGCACCCACGACCATGTAACACACACACACACATACACACACACATACACACACACACACACTCAACAATATTACCTATCGCCTTGTTTTGAAACCTTCTGCCGTACATACATAGATGCGTATCCCCGGATAGTTTTTGTTTTCACAGAGGGCACAAATTGACTGTGTCGCCGATTTCCAACCGCCAAAAGACGCACCACTCAAGGCTTCCTCGATCCGCGCTTTGCCGAAGCATGCAGCCTGCAGCATATCCCGTATCTGCATAGCACGGAGTGTAGGTTGACACGTCTTAGTAGGGGAGCTACGTGCCAAACATGTCGTACGTGTACGGCAGCTACTTCATTTTGTGGAAATTCCAGCTAGCCAGGGCAAACAAGTTACAAACACTGCAGTAATGTGAGAATGGAAGCGAGGCGGGGATAATGTCAATGGGAAACGTTACACACACACGGACTACTGTGCCAGCAGACGAGAGCTTGGAAAGGCAAATGCAGAAGGCATGTCGTAAAATGTGTTACACTTGAGCCTTGTTACGCCCTTCAGGACGTAAAAAAGGTTGCAGTACAAAAGGATGCTTGACCCTCCGAAACCACACGATAATATAGTTTGCAGCTTTGCAGCCCCGTCAGTCGTCACCTACTAGGTCATCTGACTTCTCCATAAAGTGCGAGATGGCCGGGGTATACTTCGCCATCTGCAGCTCCTGCGATGGAGATGGAGGTGGCGGGGGAGGTAGGGGAAGATCTGCGTGCACCCTTCCGGCCACTGGCGGAGTTAGTAGCTCCGCAGCGGCCGCAGCGGCTATGGCAGTGGCTGCGCTCATGGCAGCTGCTCCTTCAGGGCAGCTGCTTTTTGTTGGAATTTCGTCGTCGTCGTCGTCGTCGTCGTCGTCGGACAATTCCAGTCCCAGCATTTGGAGGTCTTGTAGGATGCTGTCCGTGCAGGAAACTGCGATGGCTTCGGGCACCCTTGGCGCAGATGACACGCCATTGGCAGCGATGGCGGTGGCGGTGGGGTGCCGGCCGATTCGCCTGGCCTTCCAAGCGGGATCGCATTCGGTGGCGACCTGCAAAGGAGCGCAGTCAGTCAGGGGTAACAGTAGTTGTAAGGAAAGGGTTTCCAAAAAGGACAGTACGACAAATGCCCTAGCACGACAGTTGCTTTGCCTCAACCGAATCAACCACCTTGCCTGGGGAACCAAGGATATAGCTGGCGAATCGCACAACCCCGGCTGCCGTACGGCATTCCTACACTGCCTTATCAAAAAGTAAGGTTGTTGTTGTTGTTGTTGGGGTTAAGAGTGGTACAGCTTCACCAGTGGCCTCCTTCCAGAGGCAATTCCCTGCTCTCCCCTGCTAGAGGGGCACCCTAATCCGTTCACCCCATCCAACTTCAGAATCTACTCTTTGGGTTCGGCGACTCACCACCAGCACCCAACCAAATCTAGCGGATCAACGGCGCCACAACTTAGTTCCTGGTCAGCTCGCGAGCTGCTGTTATCACGTCCTACACCGTCCATAAGATGGGGGGCCACCTCCCATTTCAACACCCCTGTTATGTTTCTTTCTTTGCTTGTTTGCCCTTTCTTTTCGCAAATCCTCCACATACCTGAGGATTGGACAGGACTGCACCGCTGGCGCATCCATAGCTCAGGTCGTCACTCAGCGCGCTATCCCCATGATGCTCGCCCATCCCCAAATCTGCCCTTGCCGCCGCCATCATGGCCATCCAGCTCCGCTTGCATTGCTTGCCGATATCGTAAGAACCTTTGCAAGGCAGCATCGCTAATCCGTTCCCCGTATTTGCGCTCGTGCACACGTCCCTGCCGGTCTCAGACCGCAAAAAGCTTGTGCGCGGCCTCTTCATTCGTTCTTGGTCACGCACAAGAATCACGGCCTCTCCGGCCGTCTGCCCGTCGGACTCTCCGCGCGAATGGCTGACGGCGCTATCCGCGCCAAGTTGTCCGTACAGCTGGTCGGCGAGCTCCGCGAGAAACGCATCCTGCTGAAGCCCACTTGTACGGTTCTCGTACGGCTGGGGCCCGATATTGTTCATAATGCATCCTCCGTACTGTGAGCTGGCGGATCCGTCGCGAACTGTTTCCAGTCGGATCCAGCCTGTCTGTCGTCCAAATTGTTCGTACGATTGGCCGGCGGTGTTGTCCGCATCATGTTGTTCGCACTCCTGGCCAGAGAGGCCCCGTGCAGCAGCAACTTCCTGAACATTCATGCTCGCTTCGTACTGTCCGTACTGTTCGGGCCTGGCACTACTCGCGCTGAACTCCTCGTGCTGCGGGTCAGCGGGTCCAGTGCAAGCCGCTTCCGGCGGGATCTCGCCCACCTGTCCTTCACATTGTCCATACTGACGATCGACGGCATGATCCAAATCCAACTGTCCGTACCGATGGCTCGGAATCACCGGCACAGCTGCTTGTAGCTGCTGAAGATCATGTGGATACCCGTCGTACTGTCTTCTGTACTGATGGGGTCCTGTGCTCCGCGGACTGTATTCTCCGTACTGTGGGCCAGCGGATGCGGTGCAAACCTCCCCCTGTCGTTCGTATTGTCCGTACTGACGACCGACATTATTGTCAACAACATTTTGTCCGTAATGCTCGCCCAAGACCCCCGGGGCAGCTGCTTCCTGCTGACATTCGTACGTGTACCCTTCGTACTGTCCGTACTGTTCGGGCCTGGCATTACTCGCGCTGAACTCCTCATGCTGGGGATCAGCGAGTCCGGTGCAAACCGCGACCGGCGGGATCTCGCCCACCTGCCCTTCAATTTGATGGCTCGGAATCACCGGCACAGCTGCTTGCAGCTGCTGGAGATCACGTGAATACCTGTCGTACTGTCTTCCGTACTGCTGGTCTTCAGCGGTGCTTTCCGTATTGTATGCTCCGTGCTGCTGGCCTGCTGTGCATGTGTAAGCCCCGTTTATCTGCGAATCGGCAGCACACCAATCGTACGTTCTGTACTCCAGCGGCTCGCCATATAGCTGCTGATGGAGGTGAACTTGGGGCTGCTGTTGATGTTGCTGAAGCTGTTGCTGATGCTGAAACTGCTGCTGTTGCTGAAGCTGATGCTGATGCTGCTGTTGCTGTTGCTGTTGCTGTTGCTGTTGCTGTTGCTGTTGCTGTTGCTGTTGCTGTTGCTGTTGCTGTTGCTGTTGCTGTTGCTGAAGCTGCTGCTGCTGTTGCTGCTGCTGCTGCTGCTGCTGCTGGTAGTGATGATGCTGCTGGTAGTGATGATGCTGATAATGCCGGAGCTGCTCCTGATGGTGGTGGCTATGGCTATGCTGATCCTCCGCGTGATCGTGATAATGGTGCTGATGCTGATGCTGTTGCTGATGCTGTTGCTGATGATGGTAATCACTGCCATGTTGATGGGACGGTGCCATGGAAGCCGGTGGACACGGTCCCTCTTCCTCGAGCCAAAGAAGAGTCTGGGGTGGCGACGGCGCATTGGGGTCGTCGCCGTCATTATTGCTGTAGCCAGCAGCCCAGGACGAATGCTTCGGCCCTTGGTACGGCAAGCTGCTGTAGCAGTGCGCTGCGGCCGCGGCGTCAGGGCATAGCAGGCGATACGGCGGCTGCAGAGGTTGACGGTGGGTGACGGTACGGTCTGTAGGCGTGCTACTGCCGTAGTCCCGGGAGGTGCATATGGAGCCGCTCGTTGTGGGACCTGGCGTGCCGTACATAGCATTGCTGCTGAAGCTGGACGAAAAGTCCAGTGACGTACAAGCTGTGGATGTGGTGTGGTCCGCAGTAGTGGCGGCGATGGCAGCTGTGTGCGCTCTGACGCAACCACCTGGATTCACCTGCAGCTGTAAAATAACGGCAAAACGGGGATGATAAGTTGTTGCGGACGCTACGGCGTGGGAACCTGAACGTCTGGCGAAGATGCTGGAACGTATATGGTCCCACCGCAACTCAATCGTTCCCTTTGGTCGTTAGTCTCCGTTATCACTTGCTTTGTCTGGAATGCGAGGTAAGATGGCGCTTATAAGCGATCTGGCAGCCCTTGAGCCCTTGGCTCGTATTGGGCGGTTGGCAGGTATAGGGTGCACAACCCACGACCATGTAACACACACATACACACGCACACATATACACACACGCACACCCACACGTTGCGCAAGCTCGTTTGCGTACGTTGTAGGCTATATCATAAAGAGCCAGACATGCATATGGAGATTTCAGCAAGGCTGGCATGCGCACATGCAAGAGCTATGATAACAAAGGTCACTTGCTTCTAAACACATTAGTACTTGTAACAACTACAACAACAACATCAACTACGACATTAACAATCCAACGATTCCGTCGGCCCCCGGCATCTATTGCCAGCAGCAAACCCGGATGGGATGCGGACTCGAGCTGACCCAGACAGCCGCACTGCGCATTGCTGCGCCAGCTAGCCCACGTTCGCTCTCACTCACGCACGTACCATAGCCCCTGGAGACTTCGTAGGAGCAGCAGGCAGCTGGCGGCCAAGGTCAGGATACCGGTCGTTGTTATCACGGCCGTCATTGCTCCGGCCAATAACAGCGCGCGTCTCGAGGAGGTGATCCACTGCGGGGTAGCAGGCGCCACCACTATCATCCATGCGACCGGTGATAGAATAACGCTCTTGCTGACCATCGGCATTATTATTGTGGCCATCAACCCTCGGTTGGAGCCCGTAGTTTAAATTAGAGTAACAGCCATGATGAATATTGACGTTGTAGTAATTATCATGAACGGTGATAAGAGGACCGGGCTTCATCAGCGAAGCGCCTGTAGGAAAAAAAGAGACAGGACAAACCGAATGTCGATACACTTTTAAAGCAACAGGTTTGCCGCATAAAATAGCATATTATGTGACAGGAGTTATATTACCATCGGTAACAGCCATGCTAGACGCATATTAATGGACGACACTTGCACGCGAGCGACGTCCCAACGAGTCGGAGCGAGTAATCATTAGCGGCGACGGAAGAGCCTCTCCATCAAATCTGGAGGCAAGCCTGCTGTTCCATGGTGAACAAGGCGTGTATAACGATCAATATCAGCTGATATTGGTATATATCATCTCTCTTTGTGTTGGAGTTCCTAAAGCTTCAGCTCTGATGCAAAAGACGGAGTTTCATCATGAAGGCGCAGCTGGTTACATTAATGTTCCCGAGAAATCAAAGCAAGCAAGGAGCAATTGGGTGGAAAAATGCTGCATGCCTCGGCGGGATCGGGCCATGCGACTCACACATTAATTTGGCGCCTTGCAAGCGTCCTTCATCCATGCTCATGCCGCGCCAGCGGCGGCCTTGTAACCACGCTCCTCGCTGATCAGCTGAACAATTAAGACTTATCTCGCTACTTCTATCTGCAAGTACTTCATCTGAGGAGAGAAGGAGCGGGACTGCTGAACGCACAAAGCCGAATAGGGAGGAGCGTGCAAGCTAACGATTATCTCCCCTATTTTCAAGAAACTTTACATGCGCGCTAGCTAAACGTACAGCTAAGGTATGTGCAAATTAAAGAGCGAGCAAGCTTATTACTAGTAAAAAGACGGCATCGTGCGCAAGGCGTTTAAATGGATCATTCTTGGCCATCAGATTCCATATAGGATGATGACGAGTTACAAAGTGACCAGACGCGACATCTCTGAACTGCCGTCGGTTGCCCAATATTGCGTGCCGCCGGCGGTTGCTTATCGCGCTTGCCGCAGCTCATAAGGGCGTTTGGTCCCTTGCAGCTCACAAGTATATCCACCGAAGACGCGATATCTGTGGGCCTGTAGTCTTTTGGCTGCTGCTCATCAGGGATGTCAGGTCAAGTCACAACCGTGCACATACAACTGCCGCCAACTGCCGGTCTAATCCGCAGATCCCGCACGTGACATGCCTTCCGTGTAAGAGGTATTCCCCGTTGCGGTAATCCTTAGCGGAGAGCAGCGGGCACGACGACTTCCGGTCCGAACGCTCTGCTGCTCTGATGATCCGCAGTTCACAGCAGCCGGCGACACGACTTCTGAGGCAAACCAACAGACGCGCGCCCATTATTAGGCAATGAAACATTATTTTATATTTACATGCTGATGAGCGTCACAAAACGGCAAAATAATGTCGAGGACGTCGTCGGACGCCTTTTGTCCTTTCGTCCTATATGCAAGGTGAATTTTTGTCAACGCAAGTCTCAAAGAGCGCATATCGCGCTTGTTAAAATAATTAATACCAGATGCTTATTAATTATTTCTGCTAACAATACGCATCTGCGGGCTGCTACCTGCAGGGGGCCGCGGTCTGTTGAATGCCTGGCCAGCCCAGGCCTGCTTAGTATAACTTTTGAAGCATTCAGAAACTTAAATCTGATTTTATTCTTCTAATTTTTGCATCGCTGACAGCACTTTTACTCGGATTATTTTCTGCTAAGGGTGATTCTGCTGCCAGGCAGGATCGCGTCTCGATCGCATTTCGGCCCTCCTTTACTTAGCTCTGCAATACGCCTATTTCATTAACTATAATCGCCGTCATGATGCGCTTATGGTTACTGTCCGGCGCCACAGTCATCTTAATTATCGAACTTCAGCGCCACAGGCCCTTCAAAAATCTGCGTGCCTTTCTAGGGCTTCGTTGTCTGGAAGCATGAGATGGTGTGTACTGGTGGGAAGAACGGGATAGCTGCCACCTAAATATCCACTGCGCTGTGCCGCTCCTTATGCTGTGGTCGGCTGCTGCTTGCCTACTACCTACCTTGCTTGCTGGCTGGCTGGCTGGCTACCAATGGGCTTGCTAGCCTACCTACCCCTACCGCCTTACCGGCTTGCTGGGTTAGATGCCGGCCGGATGGCTGGGTGGAAGCCCAGCAGGATAGCTTGGGGACTTTATTGAAACAATACAGAAGATGTTGAAATCGCAGCTGAGTTTACAGGAAAGATTTTGGAAGATACGCAATAATGATAGGGCATGGATGTTACAGGAGCTTGAAAGACGCCGCTGACGCGAGCAGCGGTACGGCGTCTTCAGTCCACCGCGCCTCGGGGCACTGAGCGTTGAAGGTGTACAGCAGGTCATTCCTGTCGTACAAGCACAGAGGGGCATGTGAGGGGGCACCCGATGGCCTGAGGGTAGAGGAGGTAATTGGCACTTTGACGAGGTGGATATGTGTGTATGTGAATAACCTCCTGGATAGGTAAACCACAGGCACCCGGACAAGATTTTCCACTTTCACAACGTTCCTTTTCGAAAACGCCGCCGTCCCCACACCTGGACGTGTACACGGAAACGTTGTGGCGGAAGAAGCGCGGCCCGCGAACCGTGTATTCTAGCGTGTAGTACGACAGCTGTTCTTGCTGCTGCTGGTCCCGTTGTGTATACTGAGCGGAAGGCGAGGTAGGTACGGCAGCTGTGATGATGCGCGCCGTCGCATCCAGCAGCGTGGCCTGAAGGCCGCTGCCCTCAGGAGCCAGGGTGGCCAGGAAGCGCTCCCCCGCGACCCGCGGGTCACCTAGCGATCCGAGTGTGAAGCCGGGCGCGATTGGAGCCACGATTACGGACACGTTCTCTTCCCCTCTGTCGGATATTAAGGAGGGGATTAAGGGAGAGACCACGGAATTTGTGCGGAGCTTGTAAAAGCTTGTGAATTATGGAGGATACCACACAGGGATGGAGGGAGGAGGGTGCATGAAAGGAACGGGATCACTTCCTCCAAGCAACTAATTGTGCTGTTTGGGAGCTCTTCCACCAGTAGTACGGATGTGTTGGGAGTGAGAACACAGCGCAACATTGTGAACTCAACCCCCCCCCGCCCTCCGCATGCAACTACGAATGGCTCCCAAGGTAACTTCACCGCTGGGGGGTGACGTACGTACGTCGTGCCTGGCGGCCCGAATGCCACCACTGGCTCCGCCACCGCCGGCCGTTGCTGCCGGCCGCCACTGCCGCCGCCAAACCCGGCAGACCTCCCTGGTGCGGACGTTACCGTTGCTGGATCTAGGGATGAGGATGGGGATGGGGACGGTGTCGACAACGGTGGGAAGTTGGTGTCGTCGTACACCTCGTCTGTAACTCCCCGGTAACCGGCGGAAGGTGGAGGGCCGCCTCGAGCCGCCTCTGCCCTCTTGGCTGCACGGTACGCCAACGTCTGGTCGCCCAACCAACTGGCGGGGTACGTGAACTCTTTTGAGCCCACCAGCCAGGCAGGCAGGCAGGCAGGCAGGCAGGCAGGCAGGCAGGCAGGTAATTATTAAGGGGTCGTTATTAAGGGCAGGCAGTTTGATAATGAAGCAGTGTATGAAGCAGTGGTACGGTTAACCGGCCTGCCCGCCCGCCAGCCCGCCAGCAGGCAGACAGTCATGAGGGCAGCTCAGCCTGCCTGGCTTGCGCACTGCCCGGGGCCCCGCCCCTAGCAGGCAGGCAGGCAGGCAGGCAGGCAGGCAGGCAGGCAGGCAGGCAGGCAGGCAGGCAGGCAGGCAGGCAGGCAGGCAGGCAGGCAGGCAGGCAGGCAGGCAGGCAGGCAGGCAGGCAGGCAGGCAGGCAGGCAGGCAGGCAGGCAGGCAGGCAGGCAGGCAGGCAGGCAGGCAGGCAGGCAGGCAGGCAGGCAGGCAGGCAGGCAGGCAGGCAGGCAGGCAGGCAGGCAGGCAGGCAGGCAGGCAGGCAGGCAGGCAGGCAGGCAGGCAGGCAGGCAGGCAGGCAGGCAGGCAGGCAGGCAGGCAGGCAGGCAGGCAGGCAGGCAGGCAGCGCCCCAAAGCTCTCCGATCCTGGGCGCGGCAATTTTGGACATTCGGCAGGCAACGCTGAGGAACACAAGCATTGCCTCGGGAAGGAGGCCACTGGTGAAGCTGTACCACCCTGTAACAACAACAACAACAACAACAACAAGCACGCGCGCACAGTTCAGGAATCTCACGCAACTCGTTTCCTTCCCCCCGGTGTCAAAAAAACGCTACGTTGTCAACTTTACTTAACGGACACAAGACCCCCAAAAAAGAAAACAACCCTCTCACCAAGAGCCTCTCACTCCCAGAAAACAGACCCTAACAGGTCCAAACCCACCAAACTTACAAAAAACGCACGTCACACGTTTAAATCGCACACGAACGGCCGTAGCTTCAGATGCAACTGCGGTCACTGCTGTTGGCTGAGATGCTAGCCGATTCCAGCAGCGCACGCAAAACCCTAGGGAGGTCGGGCCCCCCCCTTCCCATGCACCAAGCCAAGACGAATGATGCCAGGGGAGTCTGCGCAAGGCACCGAACCTATTGAGTCTCGTGCGCCAAGAAGAGGGATGCCCAGGCAGTGAACGAAGTACACCGATCGGACAAGGAAATTAAAACTTCCTGTTTGACCTCACCAAGCTGGGACTGGGGAGGAAGGAAGGAAGGTGGGAGCTCTGGGGTTTGGCACACTCGGTACGCCCAGGGTACCGGGTTACACTTCCGCCCTCAAACCAATCAAACCAGTCAAGCCTCAGCACCCATGGGACCCCCTCATCTCCGTCCAAAAAGGGCGGTCATTGCCGCCTCATCACTTCACACGCGCATCACTTACCGAAGCCGTACGTGTAGTCGACGCAGCGCTTGGCCCCGCGCACTGGCACCAGCACATCGGCCCGCAGCCGCCCCGCCAGTGAGCCGCCATCAAGTCCTAGGAGCCAGCTGGTGATGCCTCCCAGGTTGCCGCCCAGCGCTGCCAGTCGTTGAGTTGGTAGATTGCCAAGGAGTCGGCGGGTAGGTAGGTAGGGAGGGCGGGGGGGAGGGAGGGATTGCGCGGGATTGCGCGGGGAAGGGAGAGAGGGCGCGGGGGAGGTAGGTAGGGAGGGAGAGAGGGAGGGAGGGCGCGGGGAAGGGAGGGAGGGAGGGAGGGAGAACGCGGGGGAGGGAAAGACGAACCACAGACGAATGAAGCTGGTACCCGGGATAGATGTGTACCCCGGGGATATGTAAGAAAGTAACCAAGCTGTAGCGACTTGGGAAGTGGTAGTTAGTTAGGTAGGTAGGTAGGTAGTTAGGTAGGTAGGAAGCAAGGGCGGGAGGCAATCAGGGATTTAGAAGGTAGAGCCCCAGGTGACCTGGGCACGGTGATGCCGGAACCATGATATGCGGGCGTCAAGGAAAACAACGCGGCAGGCATTTCCACCTTCTCCTCAGTCATTGCGATCCTTTGCCCTGTCTTGACGCACGTTCTTGGGCGTCATTGATCCACGACTGCCAGCCTCGGTTCGGTTGTAGCCCCGAAACCTCCGTACTCCGTTCCATGTACTGCGAAACCTTGTCGAACTTGTTTATTTATCATGATCTATACTTACCTGAATCTCATCTCCACCCCCTGCTCCATCTCACCTATTGCGGCTCCGCTTACGGCTCCCAGGACAGCTCTCCGTGTGTTGGGCAGCGTGCCTCCCCAATAGATGGTTTGCACCGGATCGCTGAGGTTGGGGCCGGGTCCAGAGCTGATGCGGGGAGGGGGATCATTGCTGGTGCTGGGGATCGAGCTGGGGCCTGCAGCAGGTTGCCGCGTGGACAAGCATGTATAGCCAGGCGAATGATGAAGTTGTTTTGGATCATGGAGAGAACAGGGAGGCAGAGTGGGCCTGGACGGCGGCAGGGAGACGAGCGGAAGAACAGACGCGAACCTGGTGTGTCTGGGCGACCCGGAGGTGTTGCTGGACAGGCTAGGCCAGGTGGCCCTGCCCTGCGGGCCCGTCGCGACACGGCAAGGACTTGCTGCGGGACAACAGCCTGGCAGGTTTGCCCCAGTTTCTTTTGGAAAGGAGTCATTAAGGATATTTGATTTAGGGTTCTGTGGAGGGTTATAATCTGATTCGTTCTTCACGTGCAAGGAGATGGATGGTTCTCACTGCAAGAATGGTCGATAACCCCGTCCGTAATTTTAAACAGTTGGATGGTAAGCCAAACTTAAAACTGTATTCGTCAACGTTGGAAAGGAATTTAGGCCACTTTTGTCACACGTACGGATTGCTATTGGATCTTGCCGTCAGAGGCAAGTAAACAGGAGGATTAGGACAACAACAATATTTGCTTGGGTTTACTCTATAGATTAATATTACATCTTATGTTATCCTTCAGCGTTTGGAGTAGTAGGTAGACGGTGAAGCCTAGTTCAGCAAACAGGGTAGACGAGCTTTCCCATGGTTTAACACCAATTAAAGCTAACAACACTTTGAGAATAGGATAGCTTAGATCTAAACTGATCAGTATTCCTTGCAGCGCAAGCGCAATTCAGTCTCCTTGATTTGCGCACAGCTATCTTCTCTGTGTAATCTATGGCATGCAGCTAACACCTAGCTGCGTGAGCCGCACGCGGCGGTCTGCACCAGCCAACGGCGAGTTCTGCCCATGGCGCTGCACGGCAGGAACCCCTCGGAGGTCGGACACAGGTCTACTGCTATGCGCCGGGGACGCGCCCATCCACACAGCAGCACCATGTCCCGCCTTGACAAGTGCACGGAATTCCACGGCTGCAGTAGTCACAGCAGATGCCTCCATCACAGCGATCATTGCAGAACCCTGGCAGAACCCCGCATTAACAGCTCCAAAACCCAGGCTTCGCAGGAGCACAAAACAAGCCAAGGGCATTACCGGCGCAATCTGTGCAGATGAGTCCCAAGCCAGCAACCATGCTGCTGAGCTGCCGTCTGGCTTTTCTGAAGGGCGCGATGACGACGCTAATGGTGCTGCTGCTGCAGCAACATCAACTCCTACACTTCATATGATACATGACTGGCGAGAGCCCGATCAAACCCTAGTCCTTGAAGCCTCCACGTCACCGTCATCCTCCAGTCGTACGCTCGTCCCATTACCGAGCCGCCGCCTCCGGCCTGCCCCTAGGAGGCCCGCTAGCCAGTACGGCGCTGCCAGCAACTCAGCGCCCGTACAGGGTACTCCGTACCACGACACTGCCATCTCACGTAACAGCGGCGGCCGCGGCCGCAACGCCGTCGCTTCTCCTCCCTCCGCCTCCAAGAACCCGGCTGAGATGATGGCAGCCACTACTAAAGCTGCTGCAGCGGCGGCTGTAGCGGCGAAGCGGAGAGCGCGAGCTGCAGCAGGGGTAGCTTTGGCAGGGGCGGCATTAGCAGCAATAAGGGCGCCGATGGCGACGGCGGAGGCAGTAGCAGCAGTACCAGGCGTCGCAGGAGAAGCGGCGGCAGCAGGGTCAGGAGCAGCGTTACGTGCAGCTGTAGCAACGGAAGCTGGCTTGGAGGCTGTAGCAGCGGCAGCGGGCAGCGGGACAGGAGCTGCAGCCAGTCGGCTTTCGCAAGCTGTAACTGGATATGCTACTGCTACGACTGCCACGGCGCCAGCAGACGTCAAATATCAGGCAGTAGCTAAAACTACTGCCATGGGGTTAGACCAAGGACATGTGCATGCATCATTAACACAGTACGGCGTTGGTTATAGCAGTAGCAGCAATACGAATGTTGGCGGCACGACCATCAGTAGAAACGGCGACGAAGGCAACAGCTCCATAGGGCCTGTCGGAGAACTGCCGGATGCAACGCAAGGAGTATCAGCAGCTGTAGCATCAGCAGCAGCGCTTGATGCTCGGCGATTGACCGGAAGAGAGGCTCATGGCAGCGGATGCGAAAACGGGCTGTTGCGGCCGTCGTCGCCGTCGCCACCGTCGCCGTCGCCGCTGAAGCCACCACTGAGCCCCGCCGCACGACCGCCGCCGCCGCCGCCGCGCTCGGCCGCGGAGTTACAGCGGCAGGTGAAGGGCCTGCGGCGGTCTGGCCGGCTGGCCGCCGCCCTGGAGCTGTCGTATATGGGGATGTCGTATTTTCCGTTGGTACGAAGCTTTTGGGCGTCTGCGGCGTCTCTGGAGCTTCGTGTCGGGCGCGTGACGGTGGCCCGGGAGCTGCTAGACGAGGCGCTCCGAAGGTGAGGGGTTAGCTCATGACGATGGTGATGATGGTGGTGATGATGGTGGTGGTGGTGGTGGTGGTGATGATGGTGGTAATGGTGGTGATGATGGTGGTGGTGGTGGTGATGATGATGGTGGTGATGATGGTGGTGATGATGATGCTTGGCTGCAACTGTTTGCTGCTATCAAGGTTAAGTCAATTTGTCCCAAGACTCCGTTCGGCACTTCCACAAAGTAATGAGGATTTTAAAACCTCCTCAAAAGCGTATATACAATATATTAGCAGCTGATGAATATTCGTACAGCAGAAGTTCTGTAGTTTTGGTTAGACTTTGAAAGTTTTTTCAAGACGTCTACGGCTGTCGTGATTTCGGCTACTGCTGCTGCTGCTGTGGAGAGAGCACCTACGGGCCGAGCGCGCATGCTTTGGGGCAAAAGTATTGCTCGCGTGCCTATCTCTTTTTTTAGGGTTTTAGGGATTTTGATTTGCCTTGGGAAGGGAGGAGGCCAGCACAATCGGACTTGCTACCGGACTTGAGACATGACATGGCGCGTACGACGTTCTAGGTCATGACGGTATGGGCTCCCAGGCCTGTAGTTACCAAGCCTGGCAAGTAGTGCTTTAAATGTACAGCAAATATGTCGTACAACAGTAGTATACTGGGTGATGCATGATGTACTCCCGTCTGCATCTCTTTATCACACCCTGGCAGGTGGCCAAACAACACAGCTTTGCTGCTGGTGCTCGGCCTTGTTCATGCAAACCGTCGAGATTACGACGCTGCGTCGTACGCCTTCCGTACGGCGCTGGAGCGAGAGCCGGGTAACGCGGTGGTTCTTCACGTGAGTGTGTTTCTGTTTGTGCTTTTTTTGGGGGGGGGAGGGGCTAGAGGGATGATGTGTCGGATATGATGTCTCTATGGGTTCGGAGACCCCGCTACTGCGACCACGGCTACTGCTGATGCTATTAGCCTTGCCCTTTTGTTATCTTGACATTTTGTTGTTCCGACATCAGGCATGGGCCACGGTCGAAGCTTCTCGAGGGGATCTCTCTGCCGCTGGATCTCGGTTCCGGGCCGCCACTCAAGCAAACCCCGATATGGTCCACAGCTACACATCTTGGGCTCGGATGGCGGCGGCCGCGGGCGACGAGGCGGCGGCGACGCGGCTGTTCCAGGAGGGCTATGCGGCTGACCCCATGCACGTGCCGCTGCTGCATGTGAGTGAATTTATTATATATATATATATATATATATGCAGATATATACAGATATATACATATTAATATTATTAAATGTATTTTTTAATTTTTTATTAAATTACCTGAGACCATGTGAGCGTGTAAAAGCAAGCCTGCGACGTGTGTGTATTGTGCGAAGTTATTTTATTCCATTTGCTTGTCAGTCTGTCTGTTTGTGTGTCCGGTGTGTCAGTATGGGTGAGGGCCTTATGCCGCGGGGTGCAAAACTGTTTTATTTTGATTTGGTAGGACTTTGCCACACACACACACACACACACACACACACTCGGGGTATTTTACGCCCCGCAGGGGGCTCATTTCAAGGCACTCCCATGCCTTCAGGCACCTGACCGGGGAGATGGTGATCCTCTCTTCTTCTCTTCCATCCAGGATCCAGGACGGATCCCCTCCGGTTGCTCCTGGTCCTTGGTTCGGGCTTGTAGTAAACTTGTACTCCATAACTTCTAATGCCCTATCGATGTTTTTCCGTGCTTTTAAATGCTCTCATGGTGGCTTTCCAGCTGACCTGCTTTTTCCGCGCAACCTCAGCCAAGGTTCAGGCAAATCAAAACGTCTGTGCCCCCCTTCAGCTGCGCCCTCTTACGATGGGCCACGACCACTGATTTTTACCCGTAGGACCTTTTTTTCCCATTTCCCATTTCAATTCTCTTCCCCACTCCCCGACCAGGCCTGGGCGACGTTTGAGCTCAACCGTGACAAGCAGAGCACAGCTCGGAAGCTGCTAACTCAGGCTCTACAGTTGGACCCGTACCACGTGCCTAGTTGGATGGTAGGTTCGTTGTCGGTTGGTCGTTGATATTCGACAACATTGAGAACCGTGCGCATTGCCGTTGGCCGTTTCCTTCGTGCGGTCCTTCCCCCAGCGTGCGGTTCAGCAGGGGAGCAGTGTTACAGAGCGGTAGCACTGCCTAACACTGCTAACGGATCGAGTGCATCAGCATCAGCACGGCACTGTGGGGGCCCTATATAGCTTACACTGAGTGTCCAGCTAGTCGGGCCAGGGCGCCCTGCTAACGTAGGGATGTAGGCCGGGGCCAGATTGCGCTGATGGAGACTGCTTTGTCGTATTTGGGGATCAGGAGCGTGACTCGCCACTCAACGCAATCCCACTCAACGCCAAGGCGTAAGGTCCCACGCCGGGGAGACGCCTTGCCTGCCTGCCATAATTGCTATCTTTTGCTGATGGGCCGCAATTGTCATCGGCGGCCCGCTCGGCTGTATCAAGCTAAACCCCTTGTGAAAATCCCGTTTCGTAAAGCTTTTGATCCTGCTGGATGGATTATTCAATTCGCAATAAATTAGCATAAAATCCTACAGAAATTGTTATATAATGTTTGAATTAGTAGCAGTAATTATTGAATATTATTATTATTATCATTATTATTATTATGAGGAGGAGGGTGGTGATGATGTCACTGGGTTACCGGACCCGCCGACAGGCAATCGGCTCTCTGGAGTGGCGGCAGGGCAATCCCGCGAAGGCGCGTGAGGTGTTTGAGCGCGGGCTGTCGATGGTGGGTCCAAGTGCTCCGCTGATCAGCGCGCTGGCGGAGTTGGAGCTTCGAAGCTCCAACACGAAGAACGCCAGGTGGGGTTGTATCTCCACATCCGAATTCAAATCCAAGCTTTGGGTTTTCAAATTCCGTTTGGGTTTTGAGCCAAATTAGGAGGTTGGGGGATAGGCCGTTGGGAAAGCGACGGGAAGTCAGGCCTGGAATCTGCAGCCTGGAATCTGATCCAGCAAATACCTGGAGTTTCCAGGCTGGAAAGCAGGCGACCAGGACACCCCCGGAGGTGTACGTTCCATCCCCTTCCACCACAACATAAGTCGATTCATGAACTGAACTCCCCTTCCCTTGGGATGTCATTATAGGTCTCTATACATAATAATATAATAATAATAATAATAATAATAATAATAATAATAATAATAATAATAATAATAATAGTAATAATAATAGTAATAGTAATAGTAATAGTAGTAATAATAGTAGTAATAATAGTAATAATAGTAGTAATAATAGTAACAATAGCAATAATAGTAATAGTAATAATAATAGTAGTAATAATAATAATGCGTTACCCAGAGAGGTGTAACGCTCTAGCCCTTACGAGCTAGAGCGAGGCTCTAGTGCGAGCTCAGGAGCCACAAGGATATAACACGCGCTCTGTACTTCATGACGTTTGCCGACACAAAATACAGTTCAATACTCTTGAGCACCAATCCAACCAACCACTGCACCCCAACACCAACAGGGAGCTGTTCGCCCGGCTGCGGATCACGGCTCCTAGCCACATCCCCGCGCTGCTGTCTGAAGCCAAGATGGAGCATAGAGCTGGCAACAGGACGCGAGCACAGCAACTGTACGGCGAGGCAGCGGCGGCGTTGGCGGCGGGTGTTGTACGCGGCAGCGAGGGCGGCGGGCTGAAAGCGCCGCGGCCACTGCCGCCGCCGCCGTCGTCGCCGCCACTATTGTCTCAAGGTGATGGTGCTGCTACTGCTGTCGCTACGGCAGCGGCAGGGCGAGTGGAGCCGTTGGGCAGTCCGGCTGCGTCCTTGTTGCAACAGCAAGAGGGCGTGCTACAACAGCAACAGCAGCAGCAGCAACAGGAGCAGCAGCGGCGGCGGCGGCAACAAGAACACATAGCGGATGAAAGTGGTGTTGGCGGCGGCGGCGGCACATCGTACGCTGCCGTACTTCACGCCTGGGCGCAGCTGCATCTGGCAGAGGGCGACGTCGCCTTGGCTGAGGAGCTGTTGGCGGCGGTTGAGGCGGTTGAACCGAACAACGGTCACATGTGTTATACACGCGGGTTGTTGTGTCAGCGAGAGGGCGCCCTGGCGGCCGCAGAGCAATGGTTTCGGAGAGGGCTTGTCTGTCGTACAAGTCGTGATGGTGCGCTACTCTGCTACGAGGGCTTTGCGGAACTCCTTGCTTTTCAGGTGTGTGTGTGGGGGGGGGGGTTGCGGGTTGGGGGTTGTGCATGGTTCGGTTTTTGGCATGAAGGACGGCGCTTGGCGGTTGGAATTGTTTATCCGGAAAACCAAAATTCATTTAAAATATTCCAGCATATCCGGAAATTATTATTCCGCAAAACCTTGTAGACAAATTGTATCAGCAACGTTGCATTGTACGACTTCTCCCGTTATATAAAACCCCTCCCGTTTGCGCAGGATTTCTGTGCGAGTCTTCTAGTAGTGTGCATTACTGGGAGAGGGGTTGTTTTTTTCCTCTTGTTGACATCCCTGAGTGGCTCCTATTCGCCTTCCTTTTTCCTTTTGACCGCAAACGCCTCGGCACATACTGGCGTGGCGTGTCTATGGTGCCTGGTCTCGGAGCAAAACTCTCATCATGCTAATTCTGCCAACTGGACTCTACAAATGTTAATTAGCCTGCGCACGTTCCTCAACCTTTGGTGTTTTCTCGCAGGGCCGCAAGGACGAGGCGCGGGGGGTGTGGCAGGCCGGTACGACAGCCGTACAGACGCCCACTTCGCGTTTCCTTCGTCAGGCAGCGCTGTTTGAGAAGAAGGAACGCAACCATGCGGCGGCAGCGGCCCTTTTCGCGGCGGCAGTGCGACGCGACCCGCAGGTGGGTGCTTTGAAGGAAATTTGGTGGGGGGGGAGGTAGGGGACCCGCGGCCCTCTATCTGTACGCTGAAGAGTGCACGACAAATACAGAGCGCGAAAGGCATGTCCTACGTGGTGCAGCCCCTGCATTGCATTTTGCGCGGACTTCGAAATTCGTTCGTGCTTTGTTTTTGTTTATTGTTTATTTTGCCAGTACCGTCAGTAGTGCAGGGTATGGCTCCGTGTATCACTCAGAAGTTTTTACGGCATTGTACGGCGCGGCGCCGCGGCTCAAGGCGGACGGGAAGCTTCTTCTTCCAGCCCTGCATCGGTACATATACCGTACGCTGCACCTACATTCCAACGCGCGTGTAAAGCAATGTCTGCCTGTTATGTACTTGAAGCGTGGTTGCGCACGGCCTTGAGAAATTGCTGGCGCCTTCTGCTGCTGTCGCTTACCACATGACGTACAGATACAGATAAATATATACAGATAAATATATACAGATAAATATATACAGATAAATATATACAGATAAATACATAAAATAATTATACAGATACATGTACATACGCACCTAGTTACCTAGCCATCTAGCTGTCCACTAAGCCACACACTACACATATTTATATATATTTGCACAGCCACGTATGCCCTGCTTCCACTCCCTCCTCTCACTCTAAGGACTATCGGAGCTGGCTTCAGTGGGGCGTGTTTGAGAGCCGGCAGCGGAATTGGGATGCCGCTGAGAGGTGCTTCCAGCAGGGCACCGCTGTGGCGCCTGGATACCCCTACCTCTGGTACGTCTTCGCCGTCGTCGTCGCCGTAAGGGGAGAGGAGGGGAGGAAGAGGAGGGGGAGGGGGAGGAGCAGGGGAAGGGGTTGTCTCGGGAGGGAGACGGGTTCAGTGACATTGCTAGGTCGCAGTACCGGTGTTGGAACCTAGGGCCAGGAGAGGGGGAAGACATGGACGAAATGGAGCGACTTAGGGTTAGTAGTAACATAGCAATTATTTTTGTCGTGCCTTTGGAGAGTAACTCAAAACTCGAGGTAGCGCACATCACCACCACCACTCCACGACACATACACACACGCGCACACGCACACGCACACATGTGCATTGCGGCTGTCCTGGGAACGATGGCAGGTATCTTTATTTATAGAGAGAGGATTGCATGGGACAGGTTCCCGCATCTCGAAGTGACGCCTCCATACTAAAACGCGTCCTATGACAATCGACCCCCCCTTACATCCCCGCAGGCTTGCTTACGCGTCCAGCCTGGTGGTACAACGTCGTATTCCGGACGCCCGCGCCGTACTGCGTACGGCAACCCAGCACTGTCCCCGTCACGCGCAGCTGTGGATGGAATGGGCTTTGATGGAGGCTGCGGCTGGTGACGCAGACGCAGCTCGAAGGCTGTTTGAAAAGGTGCGGGATGCGGGATTCGATCAGGGATCTCAACATGGACTTTCCAACGGGTAGCATTTTCCCTGACTTTCCATTCCTTTGTTCGTATTTTATCTGTCAAATTGACAGTTGCCGCATCCTTGCCTTATAAAAAAACTATATTTTTCTACAGCTCAGACAAGGGGTACAGTCCCCCCCTTTTCGCCGCTATTCCCGCCTTAAACTACATTTGTTCTATTGAACCGTTCGTCGTTTTTATTTCCCTCCGGTCCTCGTGCCGTGTAGGGAGCGGAGGTGCCGCCCAACTACCAGCACGAGCCGCTATATCAGGCTTGGGGGGCGTTCGAGGAGAAGATGGGCAACCGCGCCTTCTCCAAGCAGCTCCTGCAGCGAGCCGAGCAGGTATCGCAAGCGCACCGGGCACGTCGCCTGGCGGCGGATAAGAAGACAGCCGGTAGCGGCACTGCAGCTAGCGCCGTGTCTCCCTCCTGAAAAGCTGCAAGCTGAGACCCGCTGCACCGCTGTACTTGGCAGTGTATCGTGGCTTGCTTGGAGGTACAACGGCAAATCGCTTGCACCCTGGAGGCACTGTGTTGCGCACCGGCGCCCGGACTCACTTGGGGCTTGCGCGTGCATGTTCTTAGTTAGGATCCAATTGGACACCATTTCACGCGTCTTAGAGAGAAGAGCATTCCGTACATCATTAAGTGGGGTTTTGAGTGTGGGAGTGGAAGACAATATTGGGTTTTGTCACGGGAGCTTGGGGCTTTATGGGGGTTTATATATGAGAGAGAGCGAAGCCGCGTTTTTGTGTGTTGTTTGGGTGTTGGACAGCGAGAGCGGGGGGTGGCCTTTGGCCTTTTAGAGCTTTGCCTTGTAATTGTTTTAAAACAAGACGGATGTCGCCGGATGATGATGATGATGATGATGAGTGGCGAGAGTAATGGCATGGGAGATGGAGGCTGCCTGCATTAAAATGTATGCTGTTGGTATCAGATCTGCAAGCTGCCGGTTAATAGCTTGGAGATGCTAGTGAGCTGGATTATACGAGCGACTCCGCAAGGGTAGATATTGTCGTACATAACACGTAGGTGCATACCGTTTCCCCGTTAGGCGGAACATTTGTGAGTTTGCCAAGCCGCCGATTTAGGTGGTGGATACCCATACCATACGTGCATACAAGCTGTGCCTCACACAGCAGTCCGTCCACTGTAGGCGCTTTTGTAGGCGCGTTGCTCAAATCCTCGGCACAAGCCGAAACTATCGCGTTGTATGCGCGGTGGTTCAATGACAACTGCCCCTCCAGGTGAAAGCTGCATTCTCATCAAAGCTCTAGTCCTCAGAAATTGACAAAATTTGAGATATATCCGTCTCGCTTTGCCGTCTGAAACGGCTCCGGGACACCGCTAATGTCACACACAAGGGTACAACGTGCGCAAGGGTAAAACAGAAAAGTTGTAGAAAAAACCAGCAGAAACAACACCTGAACCGTCCATCTGCAATTTAAGTGGGGTTCCCATACATTGGAGTTCATGCCGGAGAAGGCAAAACAGCCCTCACACCTGTTGGTGACTTGGGGAGCAACCTTCGGTCCAGTAACAAAGTCCCAGGCAAGAGATAGGCGTGCCGAGCCGTCGCATCGAGCCTAACAGTAAGACACCGCAACCCCGCTTACCCGATGTTAAACAATACCTATACACCTACAATATATACAAAGCGGATAATCTGAAGTTATAGACGTCGCAGCCAAGCGGAATCACGAGCCTGGCCTTCCGAAATAGCCATCAAGAGAGATGCAAGAGGTCATATGTTGTAACACACGCACACACAAACGTATTCGCTGTCTCGCCTGGAAGAAAAGAGACTCCAGCGAAAGTTCTATGTGCATGTGAACAAAGGGTATCCCACGGCCTCGAAGGCCAACAACAGTACCCGGCATGCTGACAAACCTGATCCCTTTGCCTACTCACGGTCTTCCTCAGGTCGGTCCCGTTGCCGCCGCCGATACCCCTCCTCCTTCCCCGCATCCCGCACGCCTCGGTCCTCCCTCTCCCGCCGCTCACGCTTCTGATCCTTCCCCTCCCGCTCCTGCTCACGCTTCTTGTCCAAGCCCCGTTCCCGTTCCCATTCCCGTTCCCGGCCCCGTTCCCGCTCAGGCTCGCGGTAGCGGTCGCGAACCTGCCGCCGTTCCCCGCCACCGTCGTCCCTGTCCCTGCCCCGCTCCTTCCCTCGATCCCACTCACGCTCCTTTCCACGTTCCCGCTCGTGCTCACGTTCCCTCTCCCGTTCGCGTTCGCGCTCCTTCTCCCGCCACCGCTCGCGGTCATACTCCTCCGCCCTATCCTCATCACCGCCGCGATCTCGCCGTTCACGCTGTCGTCGCCGTTGGCGCTCCTCCGTGGCGGCATCCTCCTCCAGCTTCTCCTCCTCATAGCCTCCACGGCCTCCACGCCGCTCCCGCAGAGAAACGTCCTCATCCGCCTCCGCCTGTCGTTGCCGCTCCCGTCGCCGCTCGCCCTCCTCACGTGCATACTTGTCCCGACCGCGCGCGTCCTCTGCAACCGGGCCATCTTTGCGCCCCCTTTCCAACTCCGGCTCGTGGTGGCGCGCAGGCTGCTCCTTCGGATAGCCGCCTTCTGCGTTCTGTGCCGCCTCCACCGCCTTCACTTGCTCCCGCCGTCGCTTCAGCTTCCGCTCGCCGCCTTCCGAGTCGCTACCGCTGCTGCCACCGCTATCGCTGCTGCTGCTGCCGCTATTGTCATGACTCCGCTTCCGCCGCTTCTGCTTATCCTTCTTGCCCTCGCCCCGCTCCTTTTCCCTTCCGGACCGCTTTTGCTTTTCCTTTTTGCCTTCCTTTTTGGAGCGTTTGCTCTTCTTCTTCGAGTCCTTCTTGCGTTTCTTCTTATCTGCGCTGCTGCTACGCTTGCGCTTTCGGGTGCCACCGCTGCTGCCAGAGTCCGCGTCCGAGTCCGCGCCGCGGCCCCCTGGCGCCCCTGAGTCGCTACTGCTGCTGCCCCCCAGATCTGAAGAGTCCAGGGATGATACTTCATCTAGGTCAGGAAGCAGAGCGCGCATGCTGGCAGCTGCGGATGGCACACGGCGCACGGGCGCGATGGTGCACACGGCAAAATAATACAGCACAATTAGAATGGGTCGGAAGGTCAACAAGCGGCTATCAGCGGGGTCTCAGCGAGTGGCATTCAAGTACGTAGACAGACAGGGAGGGGGGATGGGAGAGAAGCTGGCAAGCACGGACCGGTTCAGAGGGGCTAACTGCCATAATGCAACTTCCTGACGCCTGGTTAAGTCGTCTTATGCATGTCCGTGTCCTGCTATGGCCGCTATGTATTTGGACCGGTAGCCTGCTGCCGCCCCGCAGCTGTCTGTCTGGCAGTATCGTGGCAGTCTCGTCTGCCGCGTTCGGACTTCCACCACCACGCACCTGCAACCGCCGCGTCCAGGTCGCCGATGTCCCCCGCGTGCCCCGAGACACCGTTCTTGCACTTTTTCGTGAGGTGCCCTAGCCCACCGCAGATCTTGCAGGCGCCGCGGGTGGCGTTGCCGGTAGCTCCCTGCGACTTGGCAAGCGCCAACAGCCCCTGCAGATCCGTCGCCTTGGGCTGGTAGCCGGCTGGATGCAGGCATGGACAGCGCATAACAGCAATGCAAGGTGTAAAAGGACGTAGAAGAGGAAAGGAATTCATTTCGGAGTGGTTTCGGAGTGGTTTCGGTTCAGCTGTCGGTTAAGGACGAGAACTCGTTCCTGTATGGGAAATGCGCGCTGGCGGAGTCTTCGGCTTTTGGGCATAGGCCTATTGATTATAATTAGGAAGCGGTATATGCAGTGCCAAGGCGCTTTACAAGGTGTGCACGAGAAGCGGCACGGGGTGGGGTTGACGCGAAGGAGCTGTTGGGGGGGAGTCTGGGAAAAGTGTCACGGACTCAGGTTGGAGACACCGCCGTACAATTCGCTCGCACGACTTACATGCCTCGATAAGCTGCTGCGCACGCTCCATGCGCTGCGCCTTGTATCCACCCCCATATGAAGGCGCGCGAAGAGTCGCTTCAATGGCTGAGTTTGTTCCCTTCTGCTCACTCTCAATACCGATAACATTGTTCCACATAGAGTTGCCCTGAAGGGCCGTACTGTGTGTGGATAAAGGGGAAACAGCACAAGAGACATGTGTTGGCGTAGAAGGACTAAGGGCGACATTGCAACCAACGGTCCCATGTGCTAACAGAGCTGCTCACCTCGTGCGAACACGATTGTACTGAGCCTTTAGCTGTGCAATACCGCGCGTCGCCATCCTTGCTGTGTGAAGGCAAATAAATTAGATGCCAGAACGGGCTAGGAAAGCTTAAGCCAGCAGCAAAATGAGCACACACAAATAGAAACGCTAAGTATTCCAACAATTTCTCAGATCAGCATTGTCTCTAGCATTAAGCTCCAGCTTTCGGGACCGTCGACATTTCCGAATTACGAGAACGGGAAGGAAATATAACTTTGCGCAAAAAGTTCACGGAGAAATTGGCAAGGTTATCTAATAGATATCATGGGGGGCTGGCTGTAAACCCCACCCAGCCACGGCAGAGCGACGGTAGGGCCACCCTGGAGCTGACAGTTAGTAGCGGTAGCACCGCTAACAAATATTACAGGGCCTTCGTCCTTTCCGCGATTCAATTCTACTGGTGCTGGCCGTGTGATTGCTCATACTAGATTTTCCTATGACCTTGAAACATCCTATGCTAACGTTGCTGTAATCTGAGTCAAGGGCGCAACCACAGTTGCCGGTGAGATGCAACCGTAACCACCTCAGGACAAGCGCAAAGTTGGATGACGTATGGAAACTTTACATTAAATGTATCCATTAACGTTGTCCATCAAAGCCCTGGCAACTAGCTCGGACTCAGTCAACACGCATGCATGGCCCAAGGTCTTACAGTTCGTGCTGACATGTTGCTGAACGGGCCAAACCGGGCTGGCTTGCTGGGTAGCAGAGGTGGGAATTATAATTGCGGCAAGCATTCACCCATGGTGTGTGTATGTGTCTCTGATTTTCGCGCTCGTCCCACCCGTTCTTGGCCAAACATTCCCGTAAGAGGGAGAGACAAAAATTTTGGCATTAAAAGGTAAGATGGAAGGTTTGGCATTATGGCCGTGAGCTCCTCTAAAAACACCGCAATGGACTGTACATGACATATGGCACATGGCCGCGAAGTCACCACAAAGCCACGTTTGGGACACAATTATATTGGACGTATGGGTCCCTCCATACCCACAATGCAAGACCACTGGATCGCACGCCACAAGCAGCCTGCCAAGGCCGCGTTCTACGGCCCTTCCCTAGAGCAGGAGTTCGGCAATCTGCACGGCGTTGAGTGCAGCGCCTTTCTTGATCTGATCACCGCACACAAACAGGTCCAGGCCTTTCTTGTCATCACGGGAAATGTCGCGGCGCACGCGGCCGACTAGCACGTTGTCTTTGCTGGTCGCGTCCAGAGGTGTCGGGAAACTGCACAAAGCACACCAAGGAAAATTAAGTCTTCGGCTCTTCATAAACCAAAATCACAGACCCCGCTGTTCAAGACATGTCCTGTAAAGTACGGGAGGAACACCGGCCCCATGCATATATCACTAACGAGACCGGTAAACGCCACAAGGCAATAACGCCACATCGTTTTCCGTGCCATTCAGCGCATGCTTACGCAACACTCACCGGTTGTTTTGGCGGTCGTTGATGATCGACACTCCTGGGAAAGCGGCCAGGGCCTCCAGGGCTTGTGCCTCAGAGATGTCGTTCTCGAACTACATAGGTAGCATAGGACAACACCAAAAGCAGTCAAGCGTCTATGGATTCCCCACCAACTCCGATCAACACCACCCTCCGGAGCAGTGAGCACGTCGGGATCACATCGCATTTCTCTTTCAAAACTGCGTGCAAGCGTATTCCTCATCCCAAAGCAAATGCTTTTCATCTAATCGACAATCTCTTCATCATCGTCGAATAGGTTGGAGCACGTTTGCCCGTACGCCGCCAGATAGCTTGCAAGCCGCCGCGTACATATAATAACATAGAGCCTGAGAAGTCGAGCAGCCAAACGCTCGCCATGCTAGAACCAGCCATGACATCTTTTAGCATGCAACTCGTATGTCAAGGAACACGTGCTGCATCTCCATCCGGTATCAAGCCCCGCCCGGTAAACACGATACGGAGCCATCCACAACTTTTGTAGCTAGCTCCACCTTTATACACCCATTTTCCACATTTTACCCTCTTTTTATGGGTACACGATCAGTGCATACACAGGGCTTTATCATGCACGGATGCACGATCAGCCATTTCAACACTCGAGCTACACAGCGCAAGTTACGTGACTCCCTGCCCCCTCTCTTTCCAACCAAAAGCTGAACCAACTTGAGTCTTCAGTCTAGACACTATCTATGAACCTCGTGAGTTTCGTGGATGGTGGACCATGGTGCTCATCCTGACGGCCCGTTGCCAGCTTACCTCGAGGTTGATGGACTCGGCGTGAGCGCGCATGATGGGCACACGCACGCAAGTAGCGGTGATGCGCACTGATGGGAAGTTCCAAATCTTGCGAGTCTCCTTGACCAGCTTCATCTCCTCCTCGTTGTAGCCCAAATCAACGTCCATGCCGCTGTTGTGGCTGAACAGGTTGAAGGCATACTGCAAGGCAAAACAGCCCCCGAGATTTAAACATGTGAAAATTTCCGCATACCGTGCAATTGTTTGCTGGCCCATGCGAGGCGGAGAAGCGCGCAACAATCCATGTAAACATATCATTAATCCTCCGTGCTCCTCTACCCTGCCAACATGCAGGAACGTCGAGGGAAGCCGTGCAGTGAATATTTCACCTGATACTACTCTGGAAGCACGTCGCTCGGCATCTTCTGCCCTGTTTTCCCTCGTAATTACGATACCGAACTATCCACATTTTCGGAGCTAGCTCCACCTTAACACCCATGTTCTGTCTTCTGTCATTTCTCAAATCTGTGAACTCTCCCCCCATTCGTTGGATTCCCATGCGCCAAGATTCCAGATCGCTTACCCCAAAAACGTTGAAGCGTGCATTTCAATCCCTTCACCGCTGTTGCTTCCCGTGATCACCTTTCCCGCCCGCATCATCTTCTTCCCCTGATAGGAAAAACCCGCTTCGCTACCAAGGTGGGAACGGGGCCCTGCTTCCATACCTCCATTTTGCTTTGCACGCACCTGCTGTGGGAAAATCTTTGGCTGGGCTGGCTTGCCATCCAGAACGTCCCGGGTCTGCTGCCGAAGCTCCTCCATGGCCGCGGCACCAGCCCCCGATGCGGCTTGGTAGGTCGACACGCACATGCGCTTGACTGTGGCCAGTCGGTGCAACGGCGTCACGGCCATTAAGGCAATGATGGTGGAGCAGTTCGGGTTGGCGATGATGGCACCGCCCTTGCCAACCTTGATGTGGGACATGGCCTAAGATTGGGCGGCACATGCATGGAAGGAGGACCTGGTTGCCGCTTTGCATGGAGGAAACAACCAGAAGCTGGGATGGGCCGCGCCGTTCTGACGTGGGGTAAATGGACATGTTTACGTGTTTTTGGCGCCGTGGTCTCCCTGCCGCAATGTGTCAACCCTGTCGACGTCCATCCAGTCGTTGTTGACGGATCCAAACTGCTCAAGCCCCGCTAACCCGGAAGCTGCAAACCTCAACCTCAACAACCGGACTGCTTTACAAGAAGTGCGTGCTACTGAATTCTTGATGTCGTTTCCCACACCATTCGCCCAACCCAGGAACAAAAGCGACCCACCTCTGGGTTGACCTCCGGAATGACAAGCGGCACACCCTCCGTCATGCGGAATGCCGAGCTGTTGTCCACAACCTGTTCGGTGGACAGCAGCAGACCCAGGTATATAGTGGACAGGGAAATAAACATTTGGGATGAGCAAGGGACCCTTACAACACAGTACATACAGGGAGACAAGATTGTAAGGGGACCCATTTTCCTCTGAACGGAGAAGTTTGCTACCGCGGAGCTTCTGACCCCGGATGATGACACCTGATGAGTTGAAACCCACAATCCAATCCCCGTCCTTAGCCCACAAGCTCACAATAGCGCCATCCTTGGCGGCGATAGGCCCAAACTTCTTGCTGATCGAGCCGCCAGCGCTAAGGAGGGCGATGTCCACGTCCTTGAAGCTGCAAAAAAGGGGCGGGGTGGGGGTTGTGAAACGCCCTTCAGTCCGTAACTGTGCCACATACCGACCCAAATCAAAATTGCAATATTGGAATCCACATGACGGCGAAGGTGGCGTCACAGTCAGATGAAAGCATGGTGGCTTGCATCAAGTTCACATGCTACCGGGGGAAGCGATTCCAAAACGATCTAAAAAATTCCATGCGTATAGCATTAAAGCAATACATAGCAGTATGAATTTGAGCAATTTGCACCAACCTTCGCCCAAATGAGCACTTTTAGACCCTCGCTAGAAAGCGTACCTGTTCTCCGTCAGCTCCTCAACTGTATACGTGTGGCCCTCAAACTCCTGCTTTTGTCCCGCAGATCTGGAAGCAAGATCAGGCAAGCGGTTCTCGAGTCAGCCCTTGCACGATACGCCGCCGTCACAACCGCATACCTACCTAGCCGAGGCAAGCAGCTTGATGTTGCTATAAGGAAAATTGCGCTCCCTCAGGACCTGTGGCAAGGGTATAGTCCGGGGCTGAAGTCATGACTTGCATAGATGGAGGGGCGGTAAAACTTGGTTCTCACCGTCAGGAACTCCTGGCCGACAGCACCGGTCACGCCAACGACAGCCACACGAGGGCCATCAGCTGTCTTGGCAGCCCTTACAACCGCTACGCGAGCCCGAGATACACGCCGGCAGGTGCCAGCGCGAGCCTGCAGGCAACGACCGTTGGCAAGCTGCATGGTGATCACAGAAGACACAGCTAGTCGGTTTCCATAAAGGGTTAAAATGATGGAGACAATTCGTTTTTCTTTTGCTCCGCGTACGGCGCGGGCGGAGGTGGACAAGAAGGCAACTTCCTCAACTGTCATACTGCACACATATGATTATTCGTTGCGTACTTTTTTGAAGACACATTCGTTACATTTACGAAAACCGACCTATCAGTCCCGTTTGACTATCCGCGTCCCGTTATTTGTGTGCACTTAACGCAAACTTGTTTCAGATATGAGTGAGAAAAAAATTGCATCTTTTATTGCAATGGCTTTGTTTCATAGCTTCAAGGCCATGTGATAACTGCAGACTTGGTCAGGTAGCTAGGACGGGGCACCCGAATGGCAGCTGGCACGCCTGACGATAAGTTCCAAAAGCTACGCGAGGAGAATGAGCGACGTCGCAAGTGAGAAGCGTGTGATAGCGTTCCATCTAAAGGCGGACGCTTCAAATGGGCCTGCGTTGGGATTTGCCAGAAGCAGTCTGGGCTGAGACAGCTAGTAACTCTCCAGCGATAACGCTCCCGGCTGCAGGAAGAAAGAAGAGGAAGAAAAACGGCGAAAACAGGAGGACGAACAGAAGGTGAAGCTAAGGAACATGGGGGTTAGGGCTCAGGTCGTTAATTTATTGGGTTTCTCGTCCCCTCGGCCGCGTGAAGGCGGCGTGGTAGGACTTTCCCTTGCACAGCTACGACATAACGGCATCCCGCCACTTCAATGGCACATAGTACTGGCTCCCTACCTGCTACCGCTTACCGTACCAGCCCGTGGTTCGATGCCGCAGGCGAAAGAGGCTCTGGAGCGCAGGCGTCAGGAGCGTTTGGAGCAGGATGAACGCATGCGCAAGCCATGGCAGCAGCCTCCCGCTCCTAAGAAACCCATCTTGCGGAAAGGAGCCAAGCAAAAGCCTGTGCAGGTGGGATTGAAGGAATGCCAAGGTGTTCCTAGGGGAGTCACACATATAAAAACGCGGGAAGTGTGAACCGGGAACCGATTTCCCAACTCGGTACGAGAAACCACAAAGGTTAAAAAGTCTCTTCCCCTTGCCTTCCAAGGGGAATCATGCTTGCAAAGGCGATGCAAAAGCCGGCATGATCCAGAATGCAGAGCCTGGCACATCGGCGGGCGGGGCATGTCCGGCACTGTGTATGTCGCCCTGTAGCTTCGTCGGATTGCAGCCCAATTCAACGTCTCATCGCGCATCGTTGTGCCATGCGGACTTTGGCGCAACGCACCTTTCCCTGATTGTTCGAAAGTGACCGATACGCATATATACTAGCGAATGGTGACAGCAGTAATAGGACCCTGGGGGGCCTCCGTGGCGCCTTGCTGTGTCTAACACCAATGCCGCTTCCCTTCCCTGATGCCGTGCCCCACGACCCCGCGCGTTTCGCAATGCCATTCCCGTCTCCCGTGTGTTTCCGCTGCTTAGCCTGGCGGCAGCCCCTCTGTGGACCCCGTACGACAGTCCCAAGCGGAGGAGAAGAGGAAGGAGTGGCGGCAGGGGCTGCAGGACTTCATAAAGCAGCAGCGGCAGCAGGCGGCAGCAGCAAACAAGGTAAAAAGGCACGGGGAGCTTGTGGCTAGCCGCGCGCGTTTCACACAAGTCACCTCAGCAGCACGGGCTGCGCTTCCACTGCTTGCAGTCCATTAAGCACTGCAGGCTGGTTGAGTAAGGAGGTTGCCACCCGCGCGCCTGAAAAAAAGCGAAGCAGGGCTGGTTTAGGGATTGGGACCTTGAAACTTGGCCGTGCTGGAGGGTCTGAAGGAGACGTGCATATCAGGCATGCTGCACTATCCGGCAATGAAACAGGAAAACAGCCAAGACAAACAAACAAACTGAAAAAAACAAGCTCGTATTGAACGCGACCCGTGTACTCATTGCGTGCGTTCCCTGGAGCCTGGCTCCAGTCCTACCCTCTTGGGTATCCGTCCGTGGTGATGGGGCGTCCTAGGTATCGGATATCGGAGGCCCCGAAGACGAGGGCTGAGTGAGGGGTGAGGGGTTCCCGGGGAAGACGGAAAGACGTCGGGTTGCCTTTGCTGCACTTTGTGTTGCGCCGTCAGGCACCGGCTGCGGCGGCGCCGGCTGGCGTGACCCCCCCGGGGGCGGACGGAGCTGGCCCCGTGGTGCCGCTTACGTGGGAGGAGCTTCGAATGGCGGCTGAGGCGGGATTCGACGAGCTGCTGAGGCAACAGGAGTTGCAGGTAGGTTGGGACGGGGTGGGAATCAAAAACTCCGCCGCCGTCGAAAGGGAATCCCGCGAAGGGAATGGGCTGGGGGTTAAGAAGAGGGGTAAAAAGAAAGACGATGGGGAGAGTCGGTGGGTGGGCAGTGGGCCATATCCCCGCGCGCGCGCGCGTCGATTAATACGCTTTGCTGGGAGGCACGGACGGGAGAGGCCTTTGCTTTCCAGAGCAGCTTTGGGCTGGGAGTGTGTTTTCGCCTGGGGACCGAGGGGTCCTGGGAGGGATGCTGTTCGTCAGGGGAGGGGAACATCCATCCATCCATCCGTCGTCTGATGGCTGCTGTTTCCCCCCGCCGTGGTTCGTCTCTTCCTCCCCACCCCCACCCCCGCCTTGCAGGCGGAGCAGCGTGCAGCAGAGGAGCCGACCTCGCGCGCAGCTCGTCATCGGTCGCCCTTTAAGAGTCCTTTTCGCGGTGCTCCGGGTGAGTGCAGTGAGGTTGGGGGTGAGGTTGGCGGTCAGTGCGGTGAGTACGGTATGCGACGGCTGATGCGGCTGGTGGATGGGCTAGTAGGCGCAAGGGAGGAAGAAACGGTTTCGGAGCCAACACGGAAAGAACCAAACAGATGATGGCAAGCAGGCGGAGGAGAGGAGGGTTCAGGAATTACCACAAGAACTGGATGCGGGGGGCGCGGAGGGAGCTTCGGAGTTGGTGGATGAATTTGCGACCACATGCGCCCACACACGCGGCGCGGCGCACCATCAAGACGTCCCCTAAGCGGGGCCTCTCCTTCAAGCCCGTTTTGAACCCTCCTCCCACCACGACACCAACATCGCGTTTTGTGCCTACCTGCCTTCCTGCCTGCCTGCCCCTCACGCCCAACACTCCCCACAAAAACAACCACCCGTTGCCTCGCTTCCTCAGCTCCGCCGCAAGAAACAGTCCAAGTGGCGCTCGTCCCAACGCAGCAATACAACAGTAACGGTGTGGCGGCACCGGCCGCGGTGGCAGCTGCGACCCACGGGTCACCCCGCCCTTCACCACGCCAGATGGTGCCAGATTCCGGTAGCGGCTCTGCTGCCGCTGCCCAGCGTGGTAGCTATAAGTACAATGACGACCAGGGCCCAAATGGGTCATCGGCAACACCCGTCCGGCCGTCGGTGCCGCTGCCGCCGTCGCCAAACCAGCACCAACAGCACCAACAGCACCAGCAGCACCAGCAGGCCCAAAGGGGAGCCAATGCCAGCAACGGCTCTGATAGCCGTCCGCAACAACATTCACCCGATGCGGCCACGGGGGGCGACTCGGCCTTCGAGGGGACTCCGGAGGCGGTGCTGTACCCGCCCTTCCCCGCAGACAGAAACCCTCAAGGCAGCTTGGGTAGTTTGGCAGGTGGCGGCGAGGGTGTTGTTACTGGCGACGCGCAGCTCGCCGCCGCCGCCGGTGGAGGCAGTCTCGGCGGAAGTGGGTTCGGGGGAGCTGGGAGCGTGACAAGCTCTGGCGGTTTGCGTCGTGGCGTGACGTCGACGGCGCGACACCGGGCTGCACCGGTGGACCCGACGTCGCTGGACATGGCTGAGCGATCGGCGGCGCCTGCTGAAGCTGCCAGTGACCCATGGGTCGCTGGGGCGCCGCCGTTGCCGCCGGACGAAGACGGCTTGGACGACTCTGCTGCCGCGTCGCCGCGCGTCTCGCCGCGAAGTCCCACTGGGCGCCGGGCTCCTCTTCCCGGGCCTTATGACGCGGGTTCGCAACAGCAATGGCCGCCGCAGGCAGCGGTAACGGAGCCGTACGCCCCGGCGGGGGCGGCGGCAGTGGCGGCGGGGTCACGTGCGCAGCTGGGAATTCCGTATGATCCGTTGGAGGCAAGCCTTCAGGCGGAGGAAACACTGGCGGCGCAACAGCATGCCGAGGGATTTCGGCTGTCATCGCCGCGCTCCTCCGGAAGCTTGCCACCGCCCGCTGTTGACCAACCGCCGGCACTTCAGCCGCCGCAATCTCAGCAGCCTGCTGCCCGACAGGACCAGCGCCACCACGCGCGTCGAGGCTGGGGCATGCCAGCTCAGCAGCCGCCGCCGCAGCCCTCTGCCGCTGCCTCCGCTGGTAATGGTGCGCACTTGCCCGCCGATCCGTCGCCGCCGCCGTGGGTGCTCAACGGCGCCGCCGCCGTGGGCGCGTCGGCGGCTGCGGTGCCGGCGACGGCGCAATGGGGCTCAAATTCGGTAGAGGCATCAGAGGTGCCTTCCAAGTCGGGTTTCGGTGCCGAGTTTGGGATGGCAGCGGCGTACGGCAGCGGCGGCGGCGCGGCGTCTGCAGCAGAGCTCCCGTTGCGGTCCGATGCGGGGCCAGCTTTGCACCAGGCTCCGTCACCAGCGGCGATTCGACACAGCGTAGCCGTCGGCGATAGCGGCGGACCTGACATGTGGCAGCGGGAGTCTGTCGTACTGCTGAATGGCTCCCCGCAGTACGGCTCGCCGCCGCGTCCGCTATCCGCCGTCAGCCCATCTCCCCCGCCGGATCCACCTGACGTGCCGCTGCCGCCGCAACTCCCTGTGCCATCATCGTCGTCGCCGTCGTCGTCACCGCGTCCGGATGATGAGGGGTCCGATGGCCGGCTGGCGGACCGGACAGCTGCGACCCGTGGGTCGGCGGCCTCGCCGCAGCAGGGTCCAACCACCTCTCCTGGAGCGGTTGGAGTCGCTCCAAGGGCCGCGACTTCCCGTGTGGACGTCAGCGGTGACCTGGTGCGATTCTCCTCCCCCCCGGGACCTAGCAGCCGTGCGCCTTCCGACGGCTCTGCCCACACAGGATCCCCACAACAACTTCAACCTGTGAGCCGCAGCCAGGAGCTGCAAAGAGCAGACGGCGCGCAGCAGCACACGCCGCCACAGCCCCTGCCACAGCAGCAACAGGATCAGCAACAGCAACAACAGCAACAGCAACAACAGGCGTTCGAACCTACTTTCCCCAGTGCCTCAAGCTCGGCATCCAACGTACCACCGGAGCCACCACAGGGTTTTTCAGCCGTACGGCAATCGCAGTCACAGCCGCAGGGCCCTTTACTCCTTCCGCCCATCGCTCCAGGAAGGCCGCTGTCTGGATCCGCCGCAGTCCGGCAGTCCAGCTCCGGCGTCCAGGTCGCCTCGGCTCCCCCGATCTCCCTCCCGCCGCTCGCCTCACAGGGCGGCGGACCCGCGGGTCACAGCGAGGGGGACAGGGATGCCGCCGCCGCCACAGCGGCGGTAATGCAGCTACAGCCGCCGCCGCCCTTCCGGGCGCCGTCACCGCCGGCGTCGCCGCCTCGAAGCAGCGGCGCCTCGCAGCGCTACCTCCGCCAGCACTCGTCGGCGTCTCTGCTGGCCGCCGGGGGGCCAGGTTCCAGCGGTGGCGGCGCCGCCGCCGTCACGGCGGCAGCGCGGCGGGCCTCCTCCGACGGGCAGAGCGTCACCGCTGCCGTCGCTGCCCCAGAACCAGCACTGTCTGGGGACGCAGGACACTTAGGAACACGACGCGACGCTGTGGCTGTAGCACCGGCTGCGGCTGCGGCGGCGCTACAGCTTCCGGAAGCGCAGCAGCTACAGCCGCAGCCACCAGCTTTGCCTAATGCGTGCCGGCCATTATCCCCGCCAGGCCCGCCGGGAGCCGCGTCTGCGCCAGGACAATCGCGACACGACCTGCAAGCACCGCCGCCGCCGCCGCCGCCACAGCAACAGCCGCCGCCGCCGCCGCAGCCACAGCAACAGCAGCCTTGCGTTGCGGCACAGGCGCAGGAGCCGGCGGGTAATCCGGAGCGCCATTCCGCTCCAGCTCGCCAAGCGAGTGCAGCGGCGACCGACGCTTTCGCTGCCGGAATACCCCGGAAAGCCGGCCTGGTGTCTAGAGCCCACGGCACCACTCCTACGACCCCTGCGGCAGGCGCCGCTCTAACGGCAGCGAATCGCCCGGCTATGCCAGCCATGACGGTGCGGCATACACGCCAGCAGACCCCGCAGCTACAACCACAGCCGCCGGCGCCGCCGCCGCAGCAGCAACGGATGCTCGCTTCCACGGAGCATCCTCAGGCGCAGCCGCAACCACTGCCTGCGTCTCCTTCTCAGCTACAGCCGATGGCGATGCAGCAACAACAAGAACAACAACAACAGCAGCAGCAGCAGCAGCAGCAACAACAGCTGCCGTACTCTACTGCAGCGCCCGTATCCTCACCAGACGTATCCTCATCAGGCATCCCAATGCAGCTGGAGCGGCTTGCAGCGGAGGGCAGCCCAACGGGAACTTCTAGAAGGTTCGACGGGGCCCCCATTGGGCCCAGATCGTCCCAGATGGGCTCACATGGCACGTCAGTTGACTGCCGTACCTCCGACAGAGCCGCACCTCCTGTGGTCGCAGAGGAGTCGAGCGAGTTCGGCACGAGCTGCGGCGCGGCTGGACTCGCCAGCTCCGCCGCCGTCGCCGCCGCCCCTGCAGCGGCTGCTGTCGACAATGGGCTTGTGTACGGCAGGGCGGAGGACGCGCAGGCAGCGGCGGACGTGGAGTTGGAAGGAGACGGAGATTTGGAGGTCGAGGTGGAGGTGGAAGCGGAGGATTCTGCCGCTGCCATCATGGACGGTGGCGGCGGCGGCGGCGGCATCAGCGGCGTACGGATGGACGCCGCGATGGACAGCTCCCTGGAGCGCCCTCCTGGAACCGCGGAAGGTAGCGTCCTGACGGGCAGCCACATCTCCGCAAGGCCCTGGTCGGGGCCAAGTTCCGGTGGCCTCGGTGGCGGCGGCGGCCGGATCGCCGGATCCGGCTACCAGACCGCCCTCCTGGACGACTCCGTCTCCAGTTTCGGCTTTCGGCTCCATTCCGCGCCCACCTCACGTCCCACCTCGTCGTCGGCGTCAGCATCTGCGTCATGTGTGCCGTTAGCGCCGTCGTCGCCATCGTCCCTAGTCTACCCAGCGACGCTGCCGCCGTCGCCATCGCGGCGGGCTGCTGCCTCCACCGGCGGCGCCGCCAAGGCAACGGTGCCTAACGGTGGCCCGTTGAGTTCGGCCGTTGGGATGCCATCGCGGTCTGGGACGTGGAAGGAGCCGAACGGCGCAGAGGGTCCTCCACTGAATGCGGTGCCGCATTCAGCGTGCGAATCATCCGTGACGAGGGACACCGTCAGGCGGAGCAAGGGCCCAACGGGTCCCGGTCTCGGAGCGACCCGCGGGTCAGCTGTTACAACGAACCTTGCACCTCGCAATGGCGTTGCCGCCACTGGTGCTGCTGGTGCTCCTCCTGCTCCTCCTGGTCCTCTTGCTGTAGCGCCTAACAGCTTTCAGGTTCTTCAGCGGCCAGCTGGCGGTAGAGTCAGCGGCGGCGGTTACATGTACGGAAATCCGGACGACGCCGACGGCGGTGGGGAAGGACAGCCTTTTGTTGAGGAGCCCGTCGATGAACCTGACGGCCTGTACGACGGCGGCAGCGGCGACGCAGCGACAGCGGTTGGGGGTTCTGATGCAGCGGACGGCGTCCAGGCGCCGTCTGCAACTGCTGCTGCAGATCCGGATCTCGATGCGCTGATGCGTGAGATCCAAGAGCTGTCGGCGCTTCGTAAGGCCCTCAAAGCGGAGTTTGAGATCATGGGACATGGGGACGCGGTCGCCGGGCTCAGGACGCTGTCCGCCAACTTCATGGAGCTGTCGCCGCCGGCGGCGGCGGCGGCGGCGGCGACGGACGCCGGTGGCGGCGGCGGCGGCCATGACGCAGGACCGTCGCCGTTACCGCCGCCGCCGCCGCATCTGGGACCCGAACCATTGCTTCAATGGAATCTTCCCGGCCAGCCCGCCGTGCAGGGACCGATTGTTGCCAAAGCCGCCGCTGCGCCAATCACGGCAGCGGCGACGGCTGCGGTGCCCGTGCCTTCTGCTGTGCTTCAGCACATGCACCCGCTTGCGCAGCAACAGACGTCGCCGCCGCTCCCCAATGCTCAGTACAGCCACTCCCACTCTCAGCAACAGACGCCGCTGCTGCCGCCGCCGCCACAGCAGCACCACCAAAACCACGATCTGGTCGCGGCGGCGGCGATTCAACGGCATTCCGCGCCGCACCCGCCAGCCCCGGGGGCAGGAGGACCGCCGCCGCCGTCGCTACAGCCTACGATGGCGGTAAATCCTCCTAGCGCTTTCCCAGCTCATTCAGTGACGCCCGATGGCTTCCCGATGGCATTTCCGCCAGGGGCGGAGCTGGGCCGCCCTGCCGTACAAGTTCAGGGACATGGCAATCATCCAGACGGTTGGACCGCAGCGGTGCCGGCGGTAGTACCTGCTACTGCTACTGCTACTGCCGTGCTAGCGGCGGCACCGGCGGTAGCTCCCTCCGGCGGTGCGGAGGACGGCCAAGGCGGTTCCTTCGCTTTTGCGTCGCCGGCTGCGCCAGCCCTTGACAGCGTTGGCCTCATCGCCGGCGGCGGCGTAGAGATGCCCGTACAGCACGTGCAGCCCGCGGCGCTGGTGCGGGCGCCAGCGGCGGCGTCAGCGCCAGGTCATCAACCGCTACAACCGCTACAATGGACGATACCCGTAAGTGGCGGCGACATGGCCGCCGTGCCGCCGTCGACGTCAGGTAGCGCCGGGGCAACCCCCCGCAAGGCGGCGGCTGCGTCGTCGCCGCCGCCGCCGCAGCAGCAGCAGCAGCAACAGCCCAAGCGGTCACCTTCTGGCGGCGGCTACTCGGTGCCTGCCGTAGCTGCTGCAGGTGAGTCGTACTGCCTTGTGAGTGGCAAAAGTGGTTTCGGCGCAGCCCTGGCCTCCATCGCGAGATTGACTTTAGTCCGCCGCGCGCCCTTAAGTGACAGCAACCCAGAAGACATTGGATTTTGACATTTATTCGCAAGCCCGCATGCGTGCGTGCGTATGTATGTGCCTGCCTGCCGTAACGATGAAGGCTTCGCAGCGCGTAAGGGTAGAAAGCATCGCCAACGTGAAATTAAAATAAAATAAAAGGAGCGCGTCGCCTGTCACCCCGTCCTATTGCGTCCGTGATCATTGCCTTTCCTTTTTTTCCCACGCAGCCTCACCCGTGGCACGGTGTCCCCGACTATTTCGCCGTTCATGCACGGACCCACGGGTCTGATGGGGGGACTGTCCTGGGGTTGTGATTTCCGTGTCTGTCAACCCCCCTTTACCCCGTTCCCTTTTTACTCGTCTGTGGTTCGTCTTTACCCGGCCCCCGCTTCCTCTGCCGCTTCCTCTGCCGCTTCCTCTGCCGCTTCCTCTACCGCTTCCTCTGCCGCTTCCTCTACCGCTTCCTCTGCCGCTGCAGCTGTGGATAGTCCCGGGTCTGCATCTGGAGCTGGTGCAGCACGCCGCGCAGGCGGCATCGCAACGGCCCAAATGGCGGGAGGAACGGCACCGGTCGGCCGCCAAGCCGCCAACGCCAACGCTGCCGTCAGCGGCGGCGGTGGCGGCGGGGGCGGCCCGGTAGCAGCGGCGCCTGCGGAGCGGCCGTTGATAAACGAAGGCAGTTATGCGCAAGCTGCTGTGCAGGTGAAGATACAAAACATGACATAAGTATAAAAATGAAACAATGCATATATATAATAAAAGTTATAAAATATTATTGTATGATATAATGATAAATATGTAAGAAATTACACAAACGAGATAAAGCGATGGGCGTACATCTCTCTTTTTTCCTGTTTTTTCCACAAACTGGACATGCAGCACATTCCCTGCGTCCGGGTTGTGGCGTCTGGATGGATGTGGTTAGACGAAGAGAACGGCTGGTTTTAAATGAGAGATATATGCTGGGCAGCTCTTGGGGGGGAGTTGTGTAACAATTAAGCGAAAAAACATAGTCTCGTATTAGCCGTGCATACTTTTCATGGTACGATTAGTGGTGCTAGTAATAGTAGCAGCTATGCACAACTATGCGAACTGAGTTCTGCACTGTAATTGCCGTATTGCACACGTCACGAAGCGTGCACTTACGATGGTTTGTCGTACTGCATCTTTCCCGCGCGCACTCGGTACAGGCCCGTCAGCGCGCGGAGAGGGAGAGCGCGGCTCGAGAGGCCCTCCAGGCCGAATCTGCCGCCGCAAAGGCAGCCATCGCGCGGCGGAGCAAATCAGAGCGTACGGCAGTGGTAGCGGCGGCGTCGCCAACCGCTGGCGGCGGTAAGGACGCATCGCCGCTGGGGCCGAAAGCGCCGTCAACGATTGGATCGTATGTACGGCAGCCATCGCCGGCGCGGGTGCGTGCGCCAGCGGCAGCGCCAGCGGCAACGGCGGCGGCGGCGACGACAACGTCAGGGCGGGGCACCGGCAGTGGCGGCGGCGGCGGTAGCGGTGGGGATGGCGGCTACAGCGGCGGAAGCGGCGGCGTCTCCTCAACGGCGGTTTCCAATGCATCGGTATGGGAGGGGCCTTATGGGAGCGACGTCCCGCAGTATCCTGGGGAACGCTTCCTATGGAACGTTTTGAATGTTTACAGCCCTTCATTGATTCGTGTGCTTCTTACGTTGCATATATTTGAATACATGACACTCACAACGGTCAACGCACACTTCCTACGGCCAACGGTGTGTACGGCCGGTGCTCCCGTGCCCTAACGAGAAATTTACGAGACATTAACCTAGTAATAATATAATAATAAATATATAACAATTATTATAAAAACAATAAAATTATTATATATGATATCTCCCCCATTTATTATAATATTCATATGATATATATAAAAATAGATTTAATGATTTGTTATATAATAATAAACATATCATGGTTGCTAAATGGGCTATATTTTCTAACCCGCACCGCGGCCAAAAATATGATCTGGTCCACAGGAAATAACCCCCGTCGGCGCTGCTGGTTCCGGAGCGAAGCAGGCCTGGGGTACGCCATCAAGTACGGGACGGCCTTCCCGCATTCCCACGCCGCCCCGGGCTGCCGCTAGCATCGCTGCTGCAGGTGGCGGCGGCGGCGACGGTGTCCCTGCCCCGGCGGCGGCGGTGACGCCACCTCGACCTAGCCGCGAGGACTCGCTAGGGAGCGATTTTGATTTTCTGGAGCGGGCTTCGGATATCTCGGACACGGAAACAGACTCGCCAGAGGCGTACGGCGTCTTCTCGAAGGCGCCGCCGCCGCGACGGGAGGCATTCGCGTCGCCGCCGCCAGCGGGCGCGTCGCCGGCGGCTAGTACGGCCTATCGGGAACGTCTGGCGGAGGCGCGACCACACCCTCTACGAATTCCCTCTTCCGCCGCCGCGACGCCGATGGGCGGCGCCAGTACCGCCAGCACCGTCGCCAGCCGTGCCGTACCGACGGGAGGACGCGGTGGCGCGGCAGCGGCAGCGGGACCTGGCGCCGTACGACACGGCGGCAGGGGTCCGTCAACGCCCTTCACTGCGGCAATACGGGAGCTAATGGGTTTGCCAGGTAGGCAATGTCGTACAGCGCAGTACTGTGTCGTACAGCATTGAAATGGAGAAAAAACCGGGATGAGTTAAAAGCAACATCACGCAAGGTAGGACTCGAGCTATTGGAGAGAGCGGCGCTTGCGGAAACCCTTCCCCATCCTCTTTTCTCTCCCATTTTGATCCTGAGGTATCTGTCCGTCACGTATTTATACCATCCTGCGGCTGGTTTCGGGGCCGCGTTTTGTTTTATCCTACGTGTGACGTACAGGTTCGGCCCCGTTGGAGCAATCTCGTGCCGCCGCCGGCAAACAACAGCAACAGCAGCGGGGCCAGGCCTCGGTGCCCCAGGGCCGCGGGCAGCGGGGGGAAGGTGCGCCCCAGCAGCAGCAGCCGCAGCCGCCGCAGGGCGGTGGTGGCGGTGGTGGTGGTGGTGGTGGTGGGCCCATACGGCTGCTGTCCGAGGAGGAGGACAAGCTGCTGGCGTCGTTGAAACGACTAGACGCGGACATCCTACGAAGGGTGCGTGTGCGCGCCGTTGGGGGCCCAACTGGAACTTGGATTTGGATTTGGAGTTAAACTTGGATTTGGATTGGATTTGGTTTTTAGATCTTGGATTTGGTTCGGATTTGTGATTGACGTGGCCCGGCAGGACGCCTTCGTCTACCTTATTCTTCTCGATAAATGTATCCACTTTTTCTCCTCGCTCCGCCCCGCAGGGCCTTATGGCCGCCGGCATCATCAATGACCCCCTGCTGCAGCAGCAGCAGCAGCAGAACAGCGTTGCCGGGGGACCGCCGCCGCAGGCGGCGGCGGCGGCAGCAGTGGGCGCAGCGGCCAAGGGCAGCAGAGTTGCACCGCCACGCGCCGCCGCATCCAAGGCCGGCGGCGGTGCCGCGGCGGCGGCGGCGGCGGCCTCTCCGCCCCTTACAAATTCTCTCCAGCAGGACCAACTGCGGGAGAGCTTGGAGCGTTTGGATGTGCGGCTGGGGGCGTTACGGCGCAAGATGGAAGGTAAGAGGGGAGGCTTGAGTGGAGTCGTGCTACCGGGTCGTTATTGCAGTTGTCGGTTGTTAGGGTCTCATTTCAGTGCGTTTGCCAGACGCATTCTTGTTTGTTGTTGTAGTTGTAGTAGCTGTAGTTGTTGTAGTTATAGTTGTAGTTGTAGTTGTTGTTGTTGACGTCCTTGCTCACATGCCTCCTCTTCATGACACTGCTCCTACGGCGCATGACAAACGTTTTGTGGCAAATTACCTATCTCTATCTTTTGGACGCGCAGAGCGCGCGTGCAGCCTTGACAGCCCTGCGGCCGGTGGCGGCGGCGGCGGCGGCGGCGGCGCGCCTCGTCAAGATGCCGCACCGCTTTCAAGGGAGGAGCGTCGAGGCCCACCTGCCGCGTTGGCAAAGTCTCGTACGCCGACACCCAACAAGGCCAAAGCCATTCGCGACCAACGGCAGCAGCAGATGAGTGCCGGACAGGGCCCCACGCCGCCGCCGGCACGCGCTGCAGCGTTATCGTCGGCTGCGCCGCCACCCAAGCCAGCGTCAGCGCCCACGATGGGGACCATGGGCACTGCAGGGGCGGTGGCGGCGGCGGCGGCGGAGCCGTCGCTTCTCCAAGCACAGCAGCAGTTTCTGCAACCAGCGGCTGCTGCAGCCGCTGCCGGAGGCGGGGCCGGCAGCGGCGCCGCGCTGGCGGGAGCCCAGCCGTACGGCATGCCGCCACGTGCACCGGCCGCCAAGGCGCCGTCGAGTGCGCCGTCGGGTCCAGCGGTGGTGAACGCCGCCCAGCAGCAGCAGCAGCAGCAGCAGCAGCAGCAGCAACAACACCAGCAGCAGCAGCATTTCCAGCAACAACAGATGATGGCAGCGGCAGCGGCGGCGTTCGGTGGCATGCAGGGGTATCCCCCCGGCGGCGGCGGCGGCGGCATGATGCCCATGTTCGCTCCTCCTCCTCCTCCTTCGCAACAACAGCAGCAGCAGCAACAGCAGCAAGGATCAGGGCCAGCCGCAGGAGCACAGCAACAGGTGGCGTATGTTCCAGCAATGTTACCGAACGGGCAGATGGCGTTCGTACCGCAGTACATTCAACCTGGCGGCGGCGGCGGCGGCGGTGCCTCGGCCGCCGCCGGTGTTTTCCCAGGTTTCCTCCAAGGGGCGGCGGCGCCGGCGGTCGGATTTGGCCAGGCAGGGCCGGCGCAGCAGCCGATGATGCTGATGATGCCGACAGGGCAAATGATGCCGACAGGTACGACAGCGTTTTCGGGAATGCAGCCGATGCAGCAGCAGCAGCAACAGTACGGCGGTGCTGGGCCAATGCTGGCGTGGGGTCCTGGACCGGTACAGGTTGCGCCGCCGCCGCCGCAGCAGCAGCAGCAGCTGCAGCTGCAAAACGTGCCGTACGGTAGCGGCGGCGGTGCTGGCCCTAGCTTGTATTCCTTCGACCGCTCTGGGCCGTCTGGACACGGCGGCGGCGGGTACCGCCGTAGCTCTCAGGATGGTAGTACGGCAGGCGGGTACGGCCAACCGCAGCCGCCGCAACAGCAGCAGCAGCAGCCGGCGGCACCGACACTGCCGTACGCTACAGGTCCGCCACCTAGCGGCCCGATGCCGCATTACCAAAGCACGGTGATGCGGAGTCGAAGCATTGGCAGCCGAGACGGCGAGGCTGTGGCGGCGGCGGCCGCCGCCGTTGGTTTAATCAGCCCCCCTCAACAGCACCCCACATCCCAACACCAACATCACCAACACCACCAACATCACCAATATGACGCCCAACAGCACCAGCAACTACAAAACATGCAAATCCCGAGCCATGCATTCCCTGCCCAGCAGCAACATCACATGCCGTACGGTGACCAGTACGGCGCCGTACCGCAGCAAAGCCGTGATTCGTACAGCCAACAGCAGCACCAGCATAATCCCCATCCTCATTCTCATCCGGGTCAAGCACCATCATCAATATCACCATCACCATCATCATCAGGACACGGCACTTCCTCGCAACAGCACACTGTACAGGTCCAATCCTTCGGGCCTAACGGCAGCAGCCGCGGCCTGGGGGTGGCGGGTGGCTGGGGGCCGGGGGGGGCGGGAGGCGGAGAGGACGCGGGGGTTATTAAGGCAGTGAACTTGGGCTTGTTACTGTCTTAGAACACAAGCAGCATGTTGTACAGGTCGTACGAGCTCGTACATGTACTGCATTGAGCTGGCGATGTATTATGTTTCCTGCGAATGGGAGGGGGGATTTAGGTGTCCCGCCCTCCGTGCAGGGTAGGGTAAGGCAAGGCAAGGCAAGGTAGGGGCGGGAAGTGAATGAAATGACGCGCAGTGGGCTGCGGGCTTGGGGCTGTGTGTGGGGGGGGGGATATGGCTGGTGGGGGCAGCTAGCTCGGGCTGCAGATGGTGTTGCGGTTGGGGCTGCAGCGGCGGCGGCGGCGGCGGCGGCGGGGGGATCATATGATGCAAGAAACTCAGAAATGAATTGCCGGCATCCTTTTAAAAGTCCGAAGCCACCGCGGTAGTGCAGTGCGGGGGCGGGGCAATGCGTATAACTGTGTATGTGCATGCTGCGGGGAAGAACTGGAGGAGTGTGGTTGGGATTGATTTAGGAGCGGTAGAGGAGGGGCTCGTGTGTGTGTGTGTGTATGCGTGTTGGGTGTTGGGTGTTGGGTGGGGGAAAGACGAACCACGAGCGAGTGAAGCTGCTGGCTGCCAAGGAAAGAGTGTTGCAGTGCGGCAGATATAATACCGGAAGTTGTTTGTGGGGGGAAGGGGAGGGGGGGGTACGAGCCCACCTGACCCATGTGGTATGCGCTTTTGACATTGGGCAGACCTTGCAGAGAAACGGACCCTTGACCTCGGCTGGCTCTCTTTGCAGTTACTTGTACTGCCCCTGTGTGAAGGCCGTAGGTACATTGCAGCGAATGTACGCGTTCGCGGCAGCTAGGGTGGTGTGGTGTTGGCGCTGCTGCTGCTGATGATGATAACACGAACGTGTCTATCAATTGTATCGATTGCATTAATGTGTGTATCTATGTGTGCATGTATGTATGTATGTTATGTATCTGTGTGTGTGTGTGTATGTATGTGGTGTTACATATCGATCCGGGCCGGACACTGGCCAGGGGCACCTAGCCGTACACCTTAATGGGAACGACCGTACCGAAGCGCGCTCCTCCTCCTCGTGGGGAAGAGGGGAAGAGGGGAAGAGGGGCGAGAAAACACACGCGTCGGACCGCGGGGGGTTGCGTACCCGGGGCTGAAAGCCCCCCCCTCTTCACCAGCAAGGCCAACACAAGGCCAGGCAGACACGGAAACAGACACACAAGTCCGCCTGCCTGCCTCAAGACAAGACACCTCCCAGGGGAGTTCTCAGGTGAGAAAAAGGCCCCCAGGTCCCCCCCCCAAAACGAACTTCACCGCAGCCGGCAGCAGCAGCAGCAGCAGCAGCAGCAGCAAGGCGAGAGCACACGGCAGGGCAAGGAAGCTCACGTGAGGAGGGCAAGGAGGGGGCTGTGCAGCATTCGCACCCACGAAAACAGTCTCAGCCGCTCAGGAGGTCCGCGTGTTATGTACATATGTATGTATGTGTGTATGTGTGTGTATCAGTGTGTTAATGTGTGTATCAGTGTGTTAATGTGTGTATCAGCGTGTTAATGTGTGTATCAGCGTGTTAATGTGTGTATCAGTGTGTGTTTTACACCACTTGGAGCAGTGTTACCCTCTTCAAAAAGGTGTACCGTAAGCCTTGCCGTACGAGTCCTGTGAGGCCCTAAGGGCGCCGGTCAGGCTAGGGCAGGTCAGGCTATATAGGGGCAGGTCACAGACCGGTAGAACTGTTGCTGATGTTGTTATGGTGGTGGTGGTGGGTGATGTTGGAGATCAATCAATGAATGATGTTTGATTGCTGCTGAGCGAGGTAAGCCACCCGCCCGCCTATGGACCTTTCCTTTCTGAAGCTACGTCGGCATTACTATGTGATATATGATATGTATGTGTATGTGTGTGTGCACCTGTATGTGTATATGTGTGTGCACGTGTATGTGTGTGTGTGTGTGTGTTACATGGTTGGGGGTGCGTGATCCCATACTTGTGTAGAACTACTACCCATACGAACCAAAAGCCTATACTTGTTATGACGTCCCGTCCGGTAGGACTTGAGCGGAGTCTGGTGGGCTCCAGGGCCCCCGCAGTGTTGTGCTGCTGCTGATGCACTCGACCCGTTCGGGGTCCGCTGTAACAAATCGCATTCTGGTGGGCTGTGGACAGGGGGGTGGTGCGGCGAGGTGGTGAGGCGAAAAAATGTTGTTGAATCAGCGAAGCATCGTTTGCACATTATTGTAGCTGTTCTCCTTCTGCTCCCTATGCTGCTTGTTCATATGCAACAGGCAAGCTGTACCGGTACGTGTTCATACTGCTTCACACTGCTCGCCGTGCATATAATCATGGACCGTTCCCGGTGTCAAACACTAAATCCCTACAAACCTAAACTCTGAAAGTATGTGTGTGTGTGTGTGTGTGTGTGTGTGTGTGTGTGTGTGTGTGTGTGTGTGTGGTTGTTACAGTGGGCTCCAGACTCCCGAAGAGTAGAGCCATCTGAAAGTGGTAGGGATTGTTTGCCAACGCAGTAGTTTGCCAGGCATATGTACATGTAGATGTCCAACGGCCAGCGCGAGAACGGTCGAGGTGGAATGGCCGTTTAATTAATACAAAACGTGATGCAAATAAGTTATTAGGAAGCATTTATGGCCCGTGCACACGTTACCCCATAGCTGCAACCATCTGCGTACATTACATATTAGAAAAAAACACTGCTGAAAAGTTATTGGCAAGATATTAGCAGGATAATTAAATAGATATTACCAAAGAAATTAGCAAGGTAAAGTAACTTTACACCTCGCGCACAACATCCTTCCGACATGATGCACGAACGAATCTGGCATAGGTATGCTATTCGCGAATCATGCAAGCATGCACGTCCGTCAGCTGCAAAAAGTGCGTCTTGATCGTGTAAACCGCCGATCTTATTCCTTGTCCTTCAAATCGAACACAATTTCAAACCGAACGAGCCATCGCAGATTATTGTCGTTTTATCCATTTCTTCCGGGTTTATTATAATAACGTTCAACACCATCGTCACGAAGCTTCTGAATGTTTAATTTGTGACTTCCTCATGCATCAGCTCCTCATCCAGCCCAGCATCATTGTTCTATGCCAGGAGAGAGTCTGGATAGGACTTACTTGATGCATTCGTGAGTATAGTAAAAGCGAAAAAAACGCCCAACTTTCATTCTGTATTCCGATTGAGCTAGACAGGAGATCGGAAAGACAAAGACAGCCTAAAGGCGAAGTAGGACCGACGAAGTAAGACCCACCACATACGGACATAATTAGCTTTCCTTTATTTACGGGTGTGAAAATGATATCATAGAAACACCAACAGATTTTCCGACAGGTGCGGTCCGCATCGAAAAAAACAAGTTACATCTAAACCGGCCGGCGAGGTCGGTTAGATCGGTAAGGGTTCCTCAGCTCTGGGGTCATGAGGTATCTCGGTTTGAACAAGCGTGAATTAAGCATCGGACGCTTAAACAACACCAAAAATCATTGAGAGAAAACAACTGCGTGTATTATGAAATTTGTCAAAAGGCGCTAGGTCGGGTCCAACAGATAGGCTCCAACCGCTTGCAGTCGAAGCTCGTCTTCGGTTTGACAGGCCAGCGAAATTACTGACCAATCTAGATTTAGGATGACGAGACACTAATTTACACACATAACTTCAGATCATGTATGTTGGAATGTCATAAGAAATAAAACGTACCTGTAAAAGAAAGTCAAGAGTCAAAAGGAAAGGCGCGATTGCCGGTCGGCGATTGACAAGGGTCGCATCGTCGGATGATAATCATGGCAACTACGCTTCTGGTCATCCACAAGCGGGCTCTGGATTTCTTCGCGGAATAGGACGATATCAGGATGATGAATAGTGAACACGACACAACAGAATAGCGAGAAAGGCCAAGGCGCCTTAGCGGCGCTTCACGTGGGTGTGCCGCAAAATTCCACGCAAACATAGAGCACGCATACGAGATGCACCGACAACAATTTTACTTTAACACAATTTTGATTAACAAAAAGCAGCGCGGCGCATGCTCTGTCCTGCTCTCTACCACAATACCGTACGTGCAAATTACATTATATACGCTTTTCAGCGTCAAATGCCACATCGGCAGACGATTCTCCGATTCTAAGAGTCCCAAACGAGCTGCATTAATCTGCTTTCCTCGTCACCACACCTACAGCATTCTATCAGTGTTCTATCACGCACCGTAACCCGCTTCCAGATGTTTCCCTTTCCGTTCCATCTCCGCAGCTTTCTAAGAGCCCCATATGGCCCTAACTTTGTGTCATAAAACTTGAAATAAATTCGTTCTCGCACATTTTCTGTGTACCAGTAGTGTACCTGCGTCATCTTGTCAGCTGCCACGAAAAATGGAAACTGAACGATCGGTGGGTTTTAGTTTTCTTTATCATCTCACCCACATGAGTTCACGGTCCAGAACTCGGTCCAGAAGGTGCCACGTCGTTCCTAGGACCGGGAGGCCAACATCTGGGCGCAGAAATACACGGCTGCATGTAAAACCGGTGCCTGACAGGGCTTACAGCTGCTGCAGCTGGCCTGTGGAAGCACGCTTTAGCGTCAGACGAGCATTCCCTGCGGCGGGCCGTTCCGCGTTTGTTGTTTCCGCCACCGCGGCGGCTGTCCTATATCTGAGACTGCTGCCCGGCAGCGTGACTTCCACCTCATCTTCGTCTTCCTCTTGCTGCTGATGCCGCTGTTGCCGCTGCTGCTGTTGCTGTTGCTGCTGTTGCTGTTGCCGAACATTCAGCCTGTGTCCGATATTCCTGGCGCCGCCCCGTAGCGCCGCTTGCAGTGGTGACCCTGGGGGTGACACTGCTGCGGCTGCTGATACTGCTCGAGGTCGAGGCGATGCATGCGAGTGAGCTCCACTCTCTGCCGCCGTCGGCATCATTTGCAGCGACTCTGCTGCCACCGCTGAAACCTCTGCGTCCATTTCTGGGCCGCCATGCCGGCTAAAGGGCGGCTCCCTGATTAGCTCACCTGGTCCTTTTGCAGCAGCATCAGCAGCATC